GGAAGGGCTGGTGGTGATCATCAGTTAAGAATCCCTGACTATAAAGATGTGTAAGTGTACGCTGCATTCCAGAGTGAATGAAAGGGATTCATTTGAAACGGGAATGAAAACAACTTAACAGAAAGCAATTTTTAAAAACCATGTTTCATGTGTAAGTTTGAAATCCCCACACATAGTTTAAAAATGAGATGATTTTTTAAAACCTAGGACCTCAATGTTATTTTCCTTTCCTTTTTCTCTTTTAAAAATAACACGATTAGGACTTGATGCTAAAGAAGTGTTTGCCTTTACAGCAGTAAATGGAGGCTGGTGGGCCCCCTGAGGACTGTGAAGTAAAGAAGAAACATAAACAGAAATCACGGAGGCACAGAATTCTTCTCAGAAGTCTCATGCAAGGTTTTGCTCTGGTGAGACTAATTTGTGCAATTAATTAAATAAACTTCACTCTGTTTTAAGTCTAAATGGAATATTGATTCCTTTATCTTGGAACAGTTATTGCAGAGTAGACAACAGATTTTCTTCCTTATGTGTGTTGGGGTGGAACAAAAAATTAGACTGTACCTTAGCAAAACCAGTAGTATGAAGAAAATTCTAAGAGACGGGCATCATCTCTTTAAGGTTCTTTGCTAATTAATGTGATACTTAATCTCATAAGTGCATTGTATTCATCACTGGGATTCTATTTATGGGCTTGTCTCTCACACAACATTATAAATTACTGGAGGGCGAGAAACATGTCTTAATCATCTCTGATTCCCAGCTCCTACTATATATTACTTGCCATAGAGCAGAAAGAAGCTCAATAAATATGTACAGGAGTAAATTATTTCAAAGGACTTAGATATATTTTCAGTTACTTCTTTTCTAGGGTACTACATAGAAGTGAAAGTATTGGATCATTTGCTCCTTTTCAGTTTGACATAAATTCTGTCAGATTGCTCTCTTTCCTGTGAATTACCTTTTTAAACCCTCTCCCCATTTTTCTATTGGACTATTCATCTTAAAAAAAAATCAATCTGTAATCCTTGACGCTAGTCATTTGTCTATTATCTCTGTAAATGATTTCTCCTAATCTGTCACTTGTTTTTAAATCTTGTATCTTTACCATACACAATTTATTTTTAATGTAACCCAAACTATCAATCTTTTTCTTTTGGGTTCAAGTTTTTATATCTTAAGAGAGACAGTCTTCTATATAACAATGACTTTTCTAAGCACATAATTTCTCCTCAGGCTTCAGATAAACCTATGCCTACTGCATTTATCTTCTGTAGGACAATATTAAACTGGGGCTCTTTTGATTTGAGGCTCCAAAACAGTGACAGCTGCTCACATGCCAAAGGATGATGCTAAACCTAGCAGCATTTGCAGAGAAACTTTTAAAAAGGTACTGCATCCCTAGCCCATCACTTGTAAGAGCTGACAAGCCTAGAAGCTGGGAAAGAATTTCTTCAAAGAAAGTTATCAGGGTGCCAAATCCTACTCCCTGCCTGCGAGCAGGTAGCATGTGGAGTTGGCCCCTCTGTTCCTCAAGCTAGTGAGTGAGGATTTAGAAGGGCAACTGGAAAGGTTCAATGTGTGTCTGCCTGGAGTGGACTGGGGTGTGAGTAGATGTCTACAGCTTGAAAAAAACAAAAAAGAAGAAAAGAAGCTTGCATGAGATGTACCTGCAGTCCCAACAATAGTAGGTCAGAGGCTGAAGGTCTGTGGTGCCCGAGGCCATGTGTCAACCAGCCAGAGGACTGTCTGAATAGATGCGGCCAAGAGGGTTTTTGCTGAGAGTGTGGGACTGAGGCTGGATGGGTACCACCAAATCAAAGCTTCAACCCTGGAAGGGCCAGAGGCATTCTAAGTACAAGGTGATGGGAGTGGGGGCATCGAAAAGGAGCCACTGCCCCTTCCCACTGACATCCACAGGCAGGCCCAAGGTGGGGAAGAGGAGAAGCCAGTATCTGAATAAAATTTGGAGTTATTGATTTTTTATATAAGACTGGACACACATTTTTTATTAAAATGAGACTAGTCTTGTGACTGAAAGTGACCATAAGAATTAAAAATATATACCTGTATATTAGAGGGGCCAGATATTAATTAAGAGAGAAGGATCTACCATAAATTTCATCCAAGGGCATGCAATGAACCAGCCCACAGAGCAGGCCTGACCAGGCAACGGGCAGTAGGGCACTGTTTCTTGGCTGTGCCCTGTGCCCACCATTCAATATGCTGGCTTTGCTTCTAGCATTTCAGCAGAGCTGCAGCATCAATATACCACCTTCATGAGAGGTTAGCACTGTACATCTTAAGTCCTGTGGTCTACACGTATTTCTGTAAGTCACTGTCATCACACAGTTATACATACCGGAGAGTAATCTTTATATATTTAAAGTAATTTTATTAAAAGTTATCTGCATACCATGTTCATAGAGCATTATTCATGGGAGCCAAAAGGCAGAGCAGCCTAAGTATGCACAGACAGAGGAACGGATAAACAAAATGCGACACGAACACACTGGAGTGTTATTCAGCCTTGAGCAGTCAGGAAACTTGAACACATACTACAGACAACATGGGTGAACTTTGAGGACACTATGCTAAGTGAAATAGGCCAGCCACAAAAGGACAAATATTGTTGTGAGGTATCTACAATAGCCAAACTCAGAGACAGAAAGTAGAAGAGTGGTGGCCATGGGTTGGGGGGATGGAGGATGGGAAGATGTCATTTAATGGGTACAGAGTTTCACTTCTGCAGGATGAAAAGAGTCCTGGAGGTGGATGGTGGTTGCACAATAATGTGAAAGTATTTCACTACCAAAATGGTACACTTTAAAGTGGTTAAAATGATAAATTTTATGTTATCTTTATTTTACCACAGTTAAAAATAAAATCATTATCCAAAAATAAGTAAATAAGCTAAATGAAAAGGAAATTTAACCTTTATTAGGCATGTATCAATAGTGGGAGGAATAGTAGCGAGGACTGGCTAAGAATTACAGAGCCTCACCATGTGTCAGCTGATGCCAGGACTGACATGCACGGTCTCATTTAATCCTCACTGCAAACCTATGAAGCAAGTCCTACTAAATTCCTTGTTTTACAGATAAGGAAACTGAGGCACAGAAGAGTTAACTTGTCTAAAGTTACATAATCTGAAAGGGGTTGGGCCAGATACTCTGACTCTAGAGCTAGCCCTCTAAACCATCTGACAGTGGACAGATTTCCACTGCCACTTACAGCCTCTCAGACTAGAAGAGATCATTGAAATTATTACCATAATCACTAACATTTGCATATTTCTCTATGGTTTACAAAGCAATTCCTCACTTGATACTACTCATTAAAATACTGCAAGTTTTCTCCTTTTATCAAAAGAACAAACTGAGCCCTAGTTAAGTAACTTGCCTCAGGTCAGACTATCTGTAAGGGTTCTGATCCCACAGCTTCTAACTCACGGTCCATGGTTATCTATCCACATCCAATTCTTCACCTGATCCAACTTTTCACTTTTCTCCTGAGACTGTCAGTAAGGGACATGCCAGAGAGGCTAATGGCTTGTCCAAGGTCACAGAGAGAGCTAGTATATTTTTCATACATCATCAGCATGTACCTTTAAAGATGCTTTGCTATGATATCATGTATTTTATAAATATGTGTTGACAAAGTATGGATTGGTACAGAGGCAGAGAGCTTTGTCAGCATAAAATAGAGTGCTTCCCTCTAGAAGCTCTTTGATTTGTGGAGTTAATGCATTAGAACCTCCTTCACATAAGCACCCAACTTTCCAGTGCCTGCCCTTACCCAGCCTCCTTGTCCATTAGCTCTACAATTATGCCATGATCAATCGAGCAAATCCATTTAGATGGCATGCCTAGCCACTCTCACAGTGGACTGGGTACTGAAGTTGCAAAGTACATCAGAACTGTATAATAAAGACCTTTGAAGAATGAACTACATAAATCCTCATTTGAGCTTGACTGCATGTCCATAAGGAATTCTTAAAATAGTCTCAATAACCCTGAATGAACTTTTTAATAATGGCCAAGCATAAAAATGCCGAGCTAAGTTCTTTTGCCCAGCAGAACCTTTTCTAGCAAAATAACTCACTTCTGAATTGGATTAGTGTGAAGGAAGCTTTACTAGACTTGATTACAGGCACTGACATGGTAAATAGAAATTATCTGTTGGCATGTGAAAATCTGTCAGTTATTGCTCAGATATCAAACTAAGGTGCTATTCCACAAACACCTGTTTGTTTGCCCTTTGTTGTCTCATTGCCTTAACACCATGGGTGGGACTGGGGCTGGCCGCTGACTGAGCAAACTCTACGGCCTGTGCCCCTTCTCTTTGGCTGGAACATAAAACAAAAGCCAAAGAAGCAGGTACCACAAAGGAGAGCTTGACAGCAGCAAAAAGTCTGAAATCCTACTAGTTAAAATTTCAAACTCTAAATGATTGAGAACCTTCCTGCCATCAGGCCACAAAAACCCTGATTTGAGGAAGAGCTAAATGATTTTATTCAAGTTAATGGCTAACATTTAATGAGCCCTTTCTTCTATTAAATTATATACACCATTAGATGGTATATTCCACAAAGGCAGGGGCTAGCTGTTTTGCTTACTATGTACCCCACCTCTGACTAGCATACCTTATATATGGCAGGTTCCCAATAAATAGTTTACACAATATTACAATCACCATATTATATGTAGGTGAGAAAGCTGAGGCTGAGGCCATTAAAATATGTCCAAGGTCCCTCAGCTAGCAGGAGTCAGGGCTTATATTCAAACTCATATATACCTGATATCAGACTCTATGGTTCAACCACAACATCACTTCCCTAGTATAGATCAGACCTCAGGACTTTTCCAATATTGAGACCATTGGTGAAAGCTAGGTCCAAAAGAATATATTTCAGGTCAGTCTGGGTCTCACTCTCTTCCAGTCATCATCTTTTAGATCTGTTCCATAGTCTACAACAACTAACTTTAAAAGAAATGACTTACCTACAAATCCTTCTTCACCAACCAGTTTCAGGGCAATTTTGTCAGCCAGCACTGAGGAGTTGCCGTGGGCGATGTTAGCAAAGGGGCCAGCATGCACAAATACAGGGGTCCCCTAGGGAAGTTGAGGGACAAATTAAAACCCCGAAAGACAAGCGCTGGGAGAGACTGCTGGGTAATTAAAGACTTTCCTAAGCCATTCAGATTTTAAGGATGCATATTTAATGCACAAATGCTCTCAAAGAAAGTTAGAACACCCTGACTCTCTCAAAAGACCAAATTTCCTGAGTATTCCACAACAGTGTTATTCTACATTTAATGTTGAGTTGGGGAAAAGGCTGAAAGAATCAGTTGTTTCCCACTATGTTAGCTGCCTCACTGACCATGAAATAAGCTATTTAATCTATTTCATATTATTCTGCATTGTATTTTTAAGAAGAATGGAATCATATCCTTGATGTCTAAGAGGCTTATTTAAATGTTTTTCTTTTAATTAGGAAATAAATTACTTCAAGAAAAATCTAAAATAAGCAAAAAACCCAATATAATCAATGAATTGTGGGAGTATGGCAGAGCAACTAATAAGGCTTAAAAGTTTATCATAGGCCATTTTCATAGTTAGAGTAATAAATTTGTTCCGATTTTTAAAAATTCTGTTGAGGTCTCTCTCACTGTTTGGCTGTCTTACATGTTAAAAATCAGGTTACTGAGACAATAAAAGTGAAGAAAAATTTCACTCCTGGTAAAATGCTTGAGTAATTCTTATAAAAAAGTAAAAGAAACCAAAATGAGGAAGTTATCAGAAACTTCAGATTTTAACACTTTAAACAAAATCTGTCAATAGATTCATCTATAATGCCATTTCTATACTTCTCCTTTACCAGTCAGAACACACTGTAGCACTATCTAAAATAATTTGTCCACATGCATTAAAATGTTCACATTTATTCAGAGCCCAGCCAGGGCCCCTGGGGTCTGTGTCTATGAAACCATGGTCCACCTGTGAAAATACAGGCTGCCCTTTCACTGACATGGGGGAAGCCAGGGGCTGATGCAGGGGGCCAGGAGCCATGGGAAATTCCCAGGGACTATGATGGCCTGTGAGCTGAGCGTGTTTCAAAGATGAGAAAATTGAACAAAAGCAGGAAGAAAGGAAGTGAAAGAAAAATCATCTCTGAGAATGAGAAAGACAGTTTACCAAAGCCACACTGTGAATTCTCTATTTATTCTTCCGAAGTCCTCAGAAGGGACGATAAAAGGGTCCTGATAAGGCCTTTGTATGGCCTTACCTATGTGAGAATAAATAAATAAAGCTGGGACGGTGACACCCAAATGTACATGCTTGCGGATATTTGTTATATACGTGTGTTTACGGTCTAGTTCTCTGCCTACCTTTCTATAAATTCTCACTTCTATCCAGATAAACCCTCTAAGTGCTCTGAAGAAAACACTGTCTAAAAGACCTTATTGTCTCCACCACCTCCGGACCTTGCCGGTCCTAGAATGTGGTTGCCTGTGGGAACCTGGCAGTTGGGAAAAGTTCAGTGGGGAAAACGTCAAGGCGCTGTCCTTGGTTGGGTGGCTAGCTTCACAACTCTACATCCTGCAACCCTCACTGTGGCCATCTGCCTGAGGAGCCCTGGACTCTGGTCTCCAGGGGGTCAGGGGACAGGATGTGTGGCTGGATCAGCATAAGCACATCACTATTACTGAGAAAACTCTCAGGACTGGGTCAGCAGCATTTTAATTTTAATTTAAAATTAAATTAAAGGCCACACAATGGGTTAATCACTAAAGTAGTATTAGACATGGTTTGGGGACTCCTAGTAATGAGTTTGGATGGCAGAATTTGTAGAACATCATTGCAGACATTCAAATACAGAGACACACATGCTCACACATTCAAGTGATGTCTGTAGCTACATGATACGGCACTGAATTAAATATTTTGTCTAAAAAAATTCTAAGACTAATCCAAAGATATAAAAACATTTATCATGAGTTTGGTATTTTGTTTTATATGCAGACCACTTAGGAAAGTAATGCAGGAACTATCTTGGCTTCTCATGATAATAAAGCTGTGGATATTCCCCACAATGGACTTTTTAAACACTTCATAAGATAACACTTCAATTACTCATCTGTTTGCCAGAGCTCTAAAAGAGCTTTGTCTAAAAGAATGTTCTATAACGTTGGAAATATTCTGTATCTGCCCAATCAATACAATAGCCACTATCTACATGTGGCTGCTGAGCACATAAAATCCAGCTAATAAGAAAAAAATTTTTCATGAAAAAATATGCAAATAGAAATGTAACTAGTATTACTGAAAAATTAAATTTAACTACTAATTTAAACTAGTTTAGATTGAAATAATGTGTGGCCAGTGGCTGCCATACTAGATAGTTCACATAGGTGTTTCTCTCAACACTACATATGGCTATCTTACGGTAAAATGTTAAGATCTTTCCATTTTGCTCTCTTGATTTTAAGTCTTCCATGGGGACATTCTTAACCTGGCTACACCCAGGCCTGACCTCCCTGGCACTGTGGTTCACTTGGTCTGGGTGGTCAGGAGATTCGAATGTGCAGCCAGGGCTCAGAAGTACGGGTCTCCTGGCGAGCTGCAGCATGGTAACCCTTGCTAACTTGCTATGAGACTGACACTCAGGTGATTTCACAAATTCGCACTCAAACAGAGTCTGTACACTGATCCATGATTTTCAGATTACATGCCGATGGAGATTCCTAGTGTCACCGATTAGCCAGGTTAGTCTGGAATGACTATTGAGGACCCAGATAGCAGAGTTCGTTCATTCGTACATGTGGATATTTAACTGAATGCTCTGTTTATTTTTAAAACAATGCTCATGGTCTTTTCAAGTAGTGACAAAATGGCCTGGGCTTAAATGAAAAAAGACATAAATGTGGCTCAGTAAGAATTACTTAGGAGCAGCCCAGCCCACTAAATCATACCCCAAATGGAAACTAGACTTTTAGAATGGGATATATCTTAAAGGTACAATTGATTTTTTAATTTAAGAGAGATAATTATTTAAGACAATGAACTGATGACCCCTAATAATAATAATGTGTTCACTTTTGAGGGGGAAGTGTTATGAGGAAACAATATCATGCCTCTTAATCTAATTTTTTCTCACTCAGTTATTTAACAAATATGCATTTCTAGGTGCAATATAGTAAAAATGCTTAGTGTTCATTTAATTATTTAACAAATGTTTAGTGACTACCCGTCTGGGTGAGGCACTTTGTGGGAGCTGGGGATGCGGAGGTAAACCAGGCGAAAGGATCCTGCTCTTGGGGGGAGGCAAGAAGCCCTCAGATCCTGTTCTGGGTGTGTGGAGAACAAGAGGGTGGCAGGACAGGGTGACTGGGGCTGAGCTGGACTCAGCTCCTGGACGCCCTCTCTGATATTTAAAGGATCTGAATCCTGAAGGATGGGAAGGAGCCCGATGCCTGTGACCAGGAGGTGTGTCCGGGGAGGTATCTGCATGGAGCAGGCCTGGGCAGGGAGAGGGTGAGGATGGGGGACGAGGGGGCTTGGGTGGAGCAGACCAGGCCACAGGAGGATGAGGGGAGACCACGCAAGAACTCTAAGCAGGAAGGTTAACAGGACCTGATTCGGGGTTTAGAGATCTCTGGCTGCTGACAGAGGAAGGGTTTTGGAAGATAGCGGACGGAACGCTGAGACAAACGGGGAGGCCGTGGCAGCGGGGCAGGTGGGAGGGGGGTCATGCTAGTGGGTGAGGCACGAAGAGAAGCAGACAGGTCAGGGACCCCTCAGGAGAATGTCTGTGCAGGCGCAGAGGCAGTGGGACAGGGAGGGGACCTCCAGGACGATTCCTAGGGTTTAGGCTCAAACCACGGACTAGATTTGGGGGAAGGAGCAAGCTGGGAGGAAGTCGCAGGTGGCTGGGAATCAAAGCGCCTGTTTATACATCGGTCTGAAAGGCCTGTCCCCTCCCGGTGGCTCCTGATATGCACACCTACCAGGCTGAGACTCTGAGGTCAGGAGATTCAGAGCAAGAGCCTGGGGGCCATCCAGAGGCTGATGCTGGGGGAGAGCATGGCTGGAGGTATGAGGGCTCAGACCCTCCAACATTTACAGGCTGGGCTGAGAAGACAGCAAAGGAGATGGAGGGGAGGCCAGTGAGAAGGTCCAGCAGAGTGACGTGCCACGGACGTCAGAATCAGGGGCTCCAGAAGGAGAGTCAGCTGCATGAGACCCCACCGAGCAGTCACACAGATAAGGAAGGAGAAACCAAGACTCGGTCACATGGAGGGACAGGTGATCTTGACAGGAGCAGTCAGGAGAAGGGCGACTGGGAGAGGAGACGAGGTGAGAAAGAGGAGACCCCAGGAACAAAAAGCAACGTCCCACTGTGAGGGGAGCAGAAAAATGGCACAGTAGCTCGATGGATATATGGGGCCCCGGGAGGTTTTTGGAACTGTTTGTTTCCTTTTGAGATGGCTGTATCTGAGCATGTTTGCACACTGATGGAGTTATCAGGAGAGGAACTCAAGCCACGGGAGGCGGACGCCTGCCTAAAGGGTGCTCTCCCCTCCCCAGCTTGAAGCCCACCCCACTTTGGACCCTCAGCTCCATGTCTGCTGCAGTATTGTCTTGATCTGGCCCCCTGCTCTCTGCCAGAGCTCTTCGACTGTGAAGCGTATTGGGGCCCGAGCATTAGGGCCTTTGCACTAAATGCTACACTCTGCCCAGAAAGCTGTTCTTGAGATACATACATGGCTCAGTGTTTTGGTTTATTCACATCTCTCTTCAGGTGTCACCCTGAAGAGCGTCACTCTCATCAGACGCCACCCGGACACCCCCACATCACTCTGCCTCCTCATTCCCTCTTATTTTTCTTCTTCAGACCTTGCCACCAGCTGATGTATTAGGTATTGATTTATTTCTCTCCCCCACTAAAGTGCAAGCCCCAGGAGAACAGGGACTTTGCTGTTCACTGCTGTGTCCTAAGCACCTACTCAAGGCTTGCCAGTGTTCTGTGTAAAATAAATACTGAATCTTCATAATAACCCTGCTAAGTTAATTTCTGTTACTGTCATCATTTTACATGGGAGAAAACGGAGGCTGATATTATTTTAAAACTTGCCTGAGGTCACAATTATTAAAGGCAGTACATACACTTAAACTAAACTTCCTGTCAGCTGAATGAATGAATGGATGGGATGGTTATACTGCTTGTCTTTCTGCTATGTCTTCCTCCAATGTACATACCCTCTGGTCACCTCTACCTTTGTCCCACGACAGCTTGAGGACAAATAGCCCACTTGCACAACCGACAGTGTGTAGTTCTTCCCAGCTCTACTGTTCACTGACAGCCAGAAGGGAGCCTGAAATTGGTCATGGTGGGAATATTTACACTATGGATACTGGCAGATGCTACAAACCAGGGATTTCCCCCTGAGAGCTGGCTGTTAAAATACCAGTACACCGCTGCTTCCTCAATCCCCGATCTCCCACTTGCTTTTTTTGTCAGTCCAACTCATGTATGCCTCTCTGTCTGCACCCAAATCCTGGGACTTCATTAGATAGGAGGAAGGAATTAGACTATTACTGCCTCAAATGAGCAAGACCGGTGCCTAAAAAACTGGATTAAACTTGAGATATTTTGATAAGAAAATTTCAGTTGAATGAAGACAAGAGCAGGCTAATTCATACACAAAAATGACATTCTTATAAAAGTAAAGGAAAGCCCGCTTTCCTGGAAAATACACAGCAGCATTTACTAAGTGTTTTGCTTGAGTGAAACCAAAAAATCCCAAATCTAATGATAATGAGAAGTTAAGTTTAAAAAAGGCATCATATAAATGTGGCTACACAACTTTCTGAGGGATTAGACAGACCTTGAGTTTCTAAGTTTCTGTTCTGGTCAAGTAGTATTTCACTAGCCAAGATATTAATCCTATCAATGAATCTATAAAAACCTTTTAGCTTTTTTTGGATGGCTAAGGAGTTATTCTAATATTCCTTGCACGCTCACGTTGGCTGGAAATGTTCATGTCGCATGTGGCTGCACAAGCAATCCAATTAGGCACACTCTGTCAACAATTTCAATAAAAAGAAAATAGCTTACCTCTAGGGTCTGCATCAGATTTGGTTTTATTGCATCTTTCATCAAAACTGTCAGAGCACCTGTCACCCCCTAAAGGAGAGGAAAAAAGCACTTTATGAACAAGATCATCCACACAAGGGTAAATCTCTTAGCCATTTCTCACCAGCCTGCCTCCTAGGTGAGCATTTGTTCCCAGTCTGCTCTCACCTCTGAGCTGCAGGTGACACAACGCGGCTACCTCAAGCGAATGGATGCCAACCACGCTAAGGCAGGAAGAATGACAGGGGAATAGGAGTCATTGCATTTTTTTCACAATCTTCCTTGATGGTGTTGATAAGGCTTGCCATAAAGCAGAACTTTCAGGCTGCTGAAAAGTGTTTTCTGACAACTGGGGACATACTATTTTCATTACTAGAGATCTTATTGCCTGAAGAAATCAGATGAAGAACAAACACAAGGCTCTTCACAGAGCAGGAACGGGGAGAGGTAAAGGCGAAATGCCTGAGAAGCCCACACACATGGTTTCAAAGACCTTTTGCATTGAAAGGCTTTTCATTTTCTGCCTCTGATGCTATCTGTCTGCCCAGAATGAAGCTGATGCCCCTTGGATATAAAACACAGCTGCCTCCTTCCAATTCTATGACCTTTTGGGTCGAGCTCTCCCTATGCTGGAAAAGACAAGACAGGAAATAGCAGGGATGAGGTAAGGTGCCACAGAGGTGAGCTTTACAAACAGAAACCCCTCCACTTTTTCTAAAGACACTAGGCAAAGTGTCTTTCAACAAACTTGTCAGTTACAGGAAGACTGTAATATGAGCAAACACATGTGAACATAGCCCTGAAAAAATAAAAATGGCACCCAACAGATCCTAACGTATCAGGTGGTAAAGGCCAGAGCAACTTCATCTCTCCAGAATGCATTTGTTTACCACTTTCTTCCTCTACTTCTGTCACCAACAACATCGATATTTCTCTTCTGTGATCAATTTCTATTTCTGTAACATTTAAAAATTTAAGATTGATAAGAAAATCCAATTTACTTTCTGCTTTATTGTACAAAACATACATTGATAGGCATCCACATTTCCCCATGTCTTTGGCCACACTGGATACTCCCTGACTTTTAAGGTATAAAATGATATTTTATTTTAATTTGCATTATAAAGATTACTGTTTTCTTACTAAAAAAAATATACATTGTAAGAAATGTGACCTATTATAATCTATTAAGATATTTTGTTGTGAAAGCAGCTGCCCAGGAAGAGCTCAAAGAAATCAAGTCTCTTTTCATAACAAAAGAGTAGCAGCCTGCCTACCTTTCTGTCTGCTATCCTTGTGTTTACTTCCCTGCCAAATAAACCTAGCTTACAAAACGAGAGGAAGGAACATGGACATTTCTGGTGGACTGTCCCGGGTAGGTCATGCCAGTGGCTGACGCTTCCGTGACACACCTCCTCTTGGGTGCTCCTTACACATGAACTGTTATCAAACCCATGCAAAGAAAATGTCACTGACAAGAGCAGCTCTGGGGCTGTCAGGTCCTCTGTAAGCTATGCCACCTGTTCCATATTCCAAGCCCACAGCGGGGAGAGCTTGGACATTCTCCCAGGGAATATCAGAATCACTGTCTTTTAAGAAACTTTTAGAGGCCATCTGTTCCAATTCTCATGGCAATACATAAAAAAAAAATTTGGACTAAATAAAAAATGAGTTATAAAATAGTGAAAGGAAAGGGGGGGAAGTTCCTAAAAATCTTCCCTCAATTTTCTATGGAAAGCCTGTCTCCAACTGGAGGAAACATGATCTAAGAAATTAGGTACTTCTTGCAAATAAACACAAAAGGGAACTCAAAAGGGTAAACTTTGAGGTTTTCTTGGGGATCTGAGATTTCTATCACACACACACACACACACACAAAATATGTTTAGGGAAGTAATAATTATGGGTTAAGTTTCAAACTAATCCTGACACAAGTTTTTGATACCTGAGATTAAGAGGATTCAGAAAAATATAATTATACAGAAACTGTAACATGCTCATTTATGTAGAAACATCATGATGTTGATAATTTTTAAATAGAAGAACATTTACAGACCTGAACTGGGGTTTCTTCTTTAAGCTTTATACTAAGCACTCCATGGGCTACTGATAAAAACATGGCTATTTAATTTACTTGAGAAGATCTCTGAGATGAGTCCATCAGATTTGTATCTTTAAACGTAGCCAAAAAGTAATCAAGACATTTTGGCAAAAGCTTCAAATTACATCTAAACCCTTGGAATTAATAAAATATTAATTTGTCTTTCCTCTTGCACGACTGTTTCTCAATCATCATTGTGTGCATTTTAGATTCCATTATGGTATGCGACTCGATATGCAGGAAAGTAAGCTTAAAGTCAGAGTGGTGGTGGTCCGATAGGCCAGTGCCATCCCTAAGCACTTATGGACACATACAAGCAAGTGAAATAAGCTATAGAACTGACGGAGTTTAAGTGGTTGTTAAGAAGAAGAAAAAAGATTAGCGTGCCAAATTAGAATAAGCTTACATTAAGAAAGCAGTGATGTGCCAGGACACCACGAAAGCTTCACAGAAAGCATCATTCCACTCAGAAGGGAGCTGGATAGTAAGACTGATTGATGATAACGTGGAGATCTGATTTAATCATGTGAAACCCAAATCTCAGGCACAAAATGGAAAGAAGCCAGGATGCCAAGGAAGCAGGCGGCTGCCAAAAATGTGCCAATTTTCTCTCCCTTTTTGTGAAGATGGAGCCACTTAGCTCTTGTTTCTTTGAAAGGTGACTTGTCCTCAATTCAAAGCAGGCATAGATGGCACTTTTCAAAAAAGCCAAGGGCTACAGAAGGATGACATCACCCAGGCAGAGCAGGGACTGGGGATCGACAAGAATAAAAAGCTCATGGAATGCACTTCATGTGCTTCAGCTGCAGCCAGGTACAAACACAATGTAGATGCCCAGGAGAACAGGATGAAGCTGTGAGGTCAGGCTTGTAGGTGGAAACGTGTGTGTAGAAATTCTCTGACCTTTCATTACATACAGTTAGGAAGAGGACCTCATCCTGCTGATCAGAACAGAGACACAGGGAGGTCCACAGTGCCGCTGAGGCGGGCACACTCACCAAATCCTCTGCTGTCACGGGCTGCCCATTTTTGTCACTGGCCACCACCATTCTTCCCAGCCGCTCCTTCATGTCCGCAAGGCTGTCAGTCAGCGCCAGCACTGCCATGATCTCGCTGGCCACCGCGATGTCAAACTGTGCCTGAAACAATGAAAGCAAAGATACTGGTCAGCTCAAGGCCAGCTGGATGGCCATTTCCACAAGGAGCTGTATTTCAGCAAGTAAGTTCTCACAGGCCTGGGGGTGCAGTGGTTGGGTGTGTGTGTGTCTATCCCCAGTGGGCTGTCCTCACATCCACAAGTTTTCAGAGGGTCTGGAGCACACACCATCCTGTGCTTGCTGCTTGCTGGGAGTTCTCCAGCAAGTGGCCATGTTCTTCTTTGATGTGCTCTGCTGAGCAGGCCTCGGACTGCTAGGCCCCCACTATCCCCGTGCATGGTACTATGTGGTTTGCTTCCATGGCATATCTCAGACTTGTGATTGATGGTTAATGTGATTATCTGTTCAGTGTATGTCTCCATTACTAAAAGTCCCAGCATGAAGGTAGTAACTGCGTGGGGAGGATTCACTCCAACTTCCTCAGCTTGGAGGACCAAGTAGGAGACCCGATAGGGGCACTAAATGTATCAGCTAAATAAATGAATGGCCTGACTCTCCCCACTGTTACTCACAGGTGTGTCAAGGGGGCTGTATTTGTCTGTCCAGCAAAGAGTTGAGGAGCAGACAGGTAAGAAGATGGTTCTGGGGCCGGTTTCCCAGAGTTAGGGTTCAGCCCTGTAGCGTGGACAGTCCAACATGTGTAAGCCACCAAGTCAAGCGGTGTCACTGAATTACTTTCCAGCTATCCACGAGTGCTCGGCCACATCAGATCCTGAATGTCCAGCAATGAATGCTGGAGAGTAGCCACTTTCTGCAAAATGCTTCTGAGCCTTCCTAGGCACCCCCACTGGCTCTGACTCCAGGCTGTACACAGTCCAGCAGGAACTAAAGGACAAACATGGGACATGCTTTCCTTCTCCTAATTCAGTCACTGGACAAAACACTTCATTATGTGCTGCCTAAATTCTCTTCTTCCCAAGGGGCACGTGAGCCAACAACATAGAGAGAAACGGCTGTGCACTGGTGGGAGTCATCTTACAAGACATTCTATTGTCCATTTCCATCTCTGACAAGAAAGGAAATGAAGGAAATAAGGAGCTTTCTGACTATTTCCTGGTTGAGATTTTGTTAGTCATTGATTTAGTGAAAAAATACTACCTGAAAGTCAAATACTACTATACTCAATTATTACATTCTCAATATAACCCACTGGAAGCATAAGTGAGTTTTCATTTTACGGTATTTAGAATTCTCCGTATCACCACACTGTTGGTAAACTGTATATTAAAAAATGACTGAAAACACAGACTTTCTATATAAAACATTAGAGAGAATATCAAAATATTAACTGCAAATAATAAGTAGAATTTATAGTAAGTTCATTTGTGATCATTATAATTTCAAAATTTTGCATCTTGAGTAACATCAAAAATGAAACAAATTGGGTCAATTTAAAGATCATTCTTGTTTCATTTACTGAAAGATGTACCTATTACATGGCTGATCATTCTGTTTTGCAAATGAAATGCTTCAAAATCATAAAGGTATAAATGAGATCACTTTTACAGTTTATCACAAATTTAAACAAAGGACAATATACAGTGTTGGCAAGGATGTAAAGTGACCTGGCTTTTCTGGACAGTAATATGGAAATATATATCAGCATTTGAAATCTGCATACTCTTTTGATTCTGCAATTATGAATCTGGAAATTTGTCCTAAGGATATCATCAGACAAGAATATGTGTGCATGTTCCTACAGCTTACTCATAATAGCCCAGCACTGCAAATACCCTACATGTCCATTAACAGGGAGCTAACTGGTTGAATTGATTATGCTACAGCCACAAGATATTACATAGCCATTTAAAAATGATGATATGGATCTACCTTATTGACATAAAAGATATCCTGAATAAAAGCTTACAGCTAAAAAATGTAGTTACAGCTCTTAAATATAAGCCCTTTTTATTTAAAAAAAATATATGCATAAAGCAACACAAGATATAACTTTGGGCAAGTTACTTAACACACCCACTTTCTCATTAGTGAACCACAGTTACAACCTAAGTCTGCTAATGTGTGTGATGGGCCTACCAATACAAGGCACTCAGAGGGCACTCAAGTCATAGCCATTACAAATCTCCCATCTCTCCGGTGCCTAGTTACGGTATAAAAATAAGCAAAGAAAATGTGAAGAGCCTTATTTACTACCCCCTTTCTTTCTCAATCCTCTTTCCAGAAGTAACTAATGTCAGAAGTTGGTGTATATTTTTTCAACTTCCATTTTATGCATTTACATACATACATGAACATGTATACTAGCTTTTTCTTAACATGAACAGGATTATGCATATGTATTTCATTTCAAATTTTTAAATGTGTAAACTGCTTTTTTTGATCTTTGCATTTTACTCTCGGTATAAGAGCTCTGTCTGTTGCTCCTCTATACACGCCTCATTCTTTTCAACAGCCACATTTATCCGTGCTGTGCAAGGATGTGTCAAAGGCAGGTAGCCAACCCTACTGATGGGCATTGGATTATTTGAAATTTCTATCATTACAAATAATGCCGCAATTAATATCCTCATGCTTAGGTTTTGTCTTTTTTTTGCACATGAGCAAATATTCCTCATCTTCCTTTTTTTCTTAACATCTTTAGTCTAAGCTGGAATTTTTGGGTCATAACAAATTTTAATACTGACAAACTGTCATCTAAGAGGCTTTACCAATTTATACTCCAACTAACACCATATGAAAGTTTATATTTCTTTGTATCATCACTAATATTTAATATACGTTTATGTTTTGGAAGTTCACAGGTAAATAGTACTTCATTATCATTGTTTTAATTTGCAGTTTTATGATTGTCATATTATTTATTTTGTAAATTGTCTTTTACTTATCCTATTATTTATTTATTCAATACCTAATATTACTATGTAACAAAGTTCTATGCATGGAGGATACAGCACTGAACAATACAAAATTCCTGTGCTTAAGAGACTGAATATTACAATAAAAGTGATTCTTTTTTCACTAATAAAAACTTAACAATGTAAGATAAACTTAAAACTGTCTTAAAATGTAATGTTTATTATACTTAAAAAAATTTAGAGGCTTGCTTTGCCTGGTTAAAAAATCATGGAATAAATTTATGCTCCTTAAGCACTATTGTTCCACATCAGAGACCTATTAAAATAAAGTTGGATATCATAATTTATCTTCCACATTTCCTGCACTTGGGTAATAAGACCTTATCCTTAAAAACTGCTCAGGCTGTTAAGCTAAATAACTAGGTGTTTGTTCTCTGGCTTGTGAAATTTGAGGGATGTGTCTGAGACTTTCACTGTTGGGTTGTTAGGCAGATGTATATGAACTTGGCAGGTCTGCAATAAAATAAGAATTTATATCAAGGGATAGATACCCTGAGTGGCTCTCCCCGGAACACAACTAAAATCACACAGGAAAAGGATGAGAACGTCACATTGGAGCCTTTCTGCCTCCAGATGCTCTCCTAGTCCTGCTGAGGGGCTGGGCACACCTTGAACTGGGAGACCCACTGGCCACAGCAGGTGGAAGAACAAGAAGAGAAAAGCAGAGAACCAGCTTCCTGGCCTGTGTAAACCCAGGCCGGTAAGCAGAGACACTCCCTTGGAGAAATGCCACCTACCTGCCGGGAACATCCCTTCTCTGTGTTTGCCTGCCCAATCGTTATTTTTCGCAGAAATCGGTCATTTGTATCCAATACTGAAAGAGAAGAGAATGGATTATTCAGTCAAGTATGGCCTAGCACTGTTCTAAGTGCCAGGGAAGGGTGCAGACAAGAGACAAGGTCTGGCTTCTCTGGAGCTGACACTTCAGTGGGTGGACACAGAGGAGAATCATATAAAACACGAAACTATAAAGGAGGTGATACGATAGAGTGTGTCAGGGTGGTCGTGGGAGTGGGGTACCATTTCTGACTAGCCAGTAAGAAAATCATTTCTGACTGCTTAGTCCTGAAACCTGAGTCACAGGAAGTCAATTAAGTTTCTCAAAAGGTTAAACATCAAACAACCATATGACCCAGCAATTCCACTCCTGGGTATATATCCAGTAGAATGGAAAGCAGGGACTTGAACAGGTATTGGCACACCCATGTTCACAACAGCCAAAAGGTATAAATAACCAAGTGACATCCATTAACAGATGAATGGATAAATAAAACGTGGTACACACATACAGTGGAATATCATACAGCCAAAAATAAACAAAGGGGGGATGAATCTTGATATACGCTACAACATGGAAAGACGTTGAAGATATTATACATAGTGAAATTACCCAGGTACAGAGGGACAAATTATGAGTCCACTTGTCTGAGGCACCTGGGATAGGCAAATTCACGGTGACAAAAAGTAGAACAGTGGCTCCCAGGGGCTGGCGGGAGAGGTGGTGTTAATATTTAAAGTTTCTGTTTGGTACAGAAAGTAGTGATGGCATGACCACTGTAAGCCTTGTAGATATATTTAATGCCGTGGATTGCATACTTATGAATGACTAACATGATAAGTATGTATATTTACCACAATAAAAAAATAACAAAATAAAGTAATATTGGGGAAAAAAGAAGTCAGTTGTGAAGATAGCAGGAACCAATTCACTTTCCTTTTTTTCCCTTGGCTGGTTGGAACTGCACTCCTCTATATTTCTTTGTGAAAATGACATTTGGTTTAGTGAAAATTTACAATGCCAAGAAACAAAGCCAGCAGGACAGAGACTTACAATTTATGTGGCTTCACACAACAAGCTGTCCACATGGACAACTTAGATCCGATTCACTAAATGCATGATATGATGCTGATGAAAACGGTGACAAGAATTATGTGTCTGGGGATTCAAAGCCTCTGCAGGAGGGAACACGGTAGCCTTGCTTTCACATACAGAGCCCTGGTGGACCTGTCCAGCTCTGTTGCTGCCAATCACTTTCTCTGCCTACAAGATGCTTCCTCGCACATACATTCACACATCTGTACACACTCAGACATACTAACACTCGTCAAACATGTATAAACCTTCTTTATGATTTTAAGACACAAGCAAAATATATAGAGCAAAAGGAATGCTTCATAAGCAAAGCTGAAGGAACAAAATGGGAGCACTCACAGACTCCAAGAAGGAACTAGCGGTTGCCAAAGGGGAAGGGCATGGGGGGGCGGGTGGGAGGGAGGGAGAAGGGGGCTGAGGGGTATTATGTTTAGTACACATGGTGTGGGAGATCATGGGGAGAACAGTGTAGCACAGAGAAGGGACATAGTGGATCTGTGGCATCTTGCTGCACTGATGGACAGTGACTGCATTTGGGTATGGGTAGGGACTTGATAATATGGGTAAATGTAGTAACCACACTGTTTTTTCATGTGAAACCTTCATTAAGAGTGTATATTAATCATACCTTAATAAAAATTTAAATAAATAAATAAACAAATAAATAAATAAAATAAACACATTAAAAAAAAAGGAATGCTTCATATTATCACTAGCTAGTACTTACTCTCAAGACCTGTGGTGCAGAGCCATTCAAAGACGTTTCCTACTCTAACAAAAAATCTTGGCACACAAATGATGTGATGTTTTTATTACAACTTCAGCCGTTTTTTACTTAGCAAAGGGAACATAAATCAAAAAAAAGGTAGCAAGATCAACTATAATCAGTGGCAACAAAGCCCACCTGTGCATTTAACCTGTGCTGGCCTCACAACCCACCAAACTTCTGAGGTTCAGGGAAAGAGACGTGTGACTGTGTCAGTGATACCTAAGACAAGGAAGAGTGGGAAGGAATGGAAGACCAAATTCCCCCACACGGAAAGTAACCCTAAGTAAGTAAGCCAGGAATACGAAATTCCCGGCCTCTAAATGATACAGATAAAGGTGGAATGAGGAACATATTTATTCATTCCAGGAATATTTATTGAGAGCCAATTTTGTGCCAGGTCCCATTAGCTGTACAGGAGTACAAAGATACACAAGACATTGGTCTCTGATCTAAGGCATTAGGTGGCAAATGGGAGATAGGAGACTTCAAGCATGTGTGCAAGGGGAGAAATCAGCTTTTTTATTCTTTGCCCTACATGGTCCCTTTAGCACTGTAGTGCTGACTATGTTTTGAGAGATATCCAGAGTGGGCCTAATGGCTTATTAAATAACCCGTAGCAGCTCAGGGTCTGCGCAGGCTAAAGTCCTACAACAGGGGCAGGTCCACTATTTTGGCTTCAGTGGAAGAATTGTAACAATTCCCTGCAATGTTGTCGGGGCAGTGCTGAGAATGAGTAACCCGATGTCAGCTCACTGAGGAGGATGGAGGTTTGTGGGACGTCAGTCTGACAGCCAGGAGATGGACAGACACACCAACGAGATAAGGGAGAAGACCGACTGCTTCTCCACCTGCCTGGGGCATGGGGGTCCCAATGCTCAGAGAAGAAGGGGCTCCTGGTCCTCAAGGAACAACAAAATAGCTCGATGGCTACTGTTCGGGCTTAGTTAAATATTTCTGCAATAGTCTATTGACTTCTAATTCCACCCTGTTACCAGGAACACAAGACCTTTAAGCTTCTGATATGAGGCATAGAATGAATGAACCTCAGTTAGACTTCTTATGCAGGCTGAAAGGGAAGAGGTGACCATTAAATATGGGACACTCCTATGATCTAAGAAGAGGTTTTCAGCCCCATGTGTTCCCTAAGTATCCCCTCTCTGGTTATCAAATCACTTAAGGACTCGATCTCATTACAAGGGGTACACTATCTCTAGGCCTGAGCCCATACTGCCTTAAGAAAAACTCTACATTAAATGTCTTTAATTCATGTGATGCACAGTCCCATTTTTATATTAATTCATGGGAATAAGAGCCAAACTACTTATCAAATGCCAGTCCCAACTCCTCTGACCTAGGTGGCTTGTCTATAGCAATAACATTCCCTTCACTCTAGTGCCCTAAACAGTAATATAATTCTGGTATTTACTTTGAATAATTTTTTAGAGTTGTCACTTCTATGCAAATTGATTCACAACCACAGAATGCCTCAGTCCTTTCTGCCCTCTCAGAGAGAAACCAATCGGCACACTAGCCCTGGAGATGAGGGAATATGCAGCCTCTCTCTTCCAAGACCCACTGGACGGAGTCACCGCCGGTTTCTGAAGGACGCCTCAGCTAGAACCACAAGGAAGATGGGAAAAATGCCCACCCTGTACAAGTTTCTCTGTCGTCATAGCCACACATATTGGTTTAAATACACTAATTTCTACCTGCATGATTTTTCTTTCACAAGTAAACTTCTGAAAATGTTTTAAAGGGTAAAAAAAAGTCACTATGTGTTTTGGATAAAACGGTTTGTAACAATCTTCCTAGTTATTAATTAGCAGGCTCCCCCCAAAAATGCTGAAAATAATCATTTCAGTTACTAAGAATGATGTTGGTCTGTTCAACAAAAAAGGCACTCTTACATAAACTGTGGTTCATCCACAAGGAATATTCTAGAGCTATTTAAAATTACCATTACAAGAAAGAGCTACCAAAGTGGAACACTTGGTATTATAACATTTGGTATTGGCTTATTATGATATACATAAAGATAGTAGGATATGAAATTGTGTCACCTAAATTATAATTAGAGTTATACACAAAATCCAGATGCACAAAGAAACTGAGCAGTAGTTTTGTTAGAATATAGCAAGGTGTTTCTTATTCTTTTAGATATTGCCAAAATCTTTATAATGTTATTACTTGTATAACAAACAATTTTTTAAAAAAATTTCAAAAAGATCTTACTCTCCATTAATTTGGGAGACTAAAGTCACACACAGAAACTATATCATACAACTATTGCCACAGTGGCATCTACTGATTATTTGAGTGGTACTTTAGAGTTTGGAAAATACTCAGGTTACAGTGCAGTGTGCAAGGGGAGGCTGGTATTATTTCTCCAGTTCACAGATAAGGAAATTGAGTAAGGTGCTTGGTTAAAACTTGCACAGCTCATAAATGGTAGAGCCAAGATTCAGTCTCTGGGCTTTGTCTCTCCACTTCATGTTTTGTGGGAAAACAGTGAAACTGTAATGGATCCGTTGAATGGATTCCTACAAGTGCAGCTTCTCGAAGGGGTGGACCTGGTCTGGTCTGGCGGGGCCTAGGCAGGGACTGCCAAGCACAGGCAGACAGAAGGATGAAGGTAGGCCCACCTGCCTGAAAACCAGACAGGGAGCAAAAGTGGATGGCACCACACCAAAGCGATCCTTAGACCCAAGCTCTGAGATGGCAGCTTTACCCTACACAGAATGGAGTCTTCTGAGCAAGAAGTAACAGGACAACAGCTCCACAGTATGAACCTGCTGAACTGGGGGATGGAAACGGAGACAAGAATATCTATTAGCAGTAAGGGCACTAAATCTGGCATCTGATAAAATGTCGTGCAAGTGGGTAGGCAGCTCTGAGAAGAACAATACAGGAAGGATGGGGGAATATGCACCATCTAACCCTTCAGGAGCACCTTAGGTCTCACCAGGTGCTGTTACCAATTCCTGTTAGAGTATATTGTCAGTTCAGTCTCCAGCTCCATGAGAGGTGGCCCAGAACATGTACTCAGCCTGCTCAGGGTCATGCAGTAGGTTAGTGGTGGGGTGCAGACACACAGGCAAGGCTCCGGACCTAAGGTATAGTGCTTGTACCCACAGTCTCCCCTTGCAGAGGGCAGTGTATGAGAACAGAGGGGACATCATGGCTCAGAGAGAATTGGGAGGTCGGTCAGGATGGAGATATTGGGGAGTCCCTCCATGCTGCACTGGAAGTGTTACAGGGATTTTTACTAAGTGACTGGAAGCACATACTATACTCAGAGAAAAAACTCAGCCCTGAGAATACAAACTTAAGAGCTGCTTAGAGCTAGTGGTATGGAAACAGAAGACCTTAGGGCAGTGGGTAGAAAAGGCAGCAGGATAAAAAAGGGGATACAGACATTTTGTTTATTCTTTTAATACAGGAAACGAGGCCATAGAAGAGAGAAACGAGGAGAAAATTCAGTAATTCTCCTCGGAAACGTGGGAGAGGGAGGTGTGGATGGGACTGAGCCCAGATGGAGCAGTTGGTTTAAGAGGCACACCTTTTCTCTTAAATAGGAGGAAAGGATGAGAGCAGAGGAGAGGATGGTAAAACACCAGTGACGGAAATACATGCAGGGATCATGAAACACAGGCTGGGAGGATGAGGGGGAGAAATAAAACATGCATTTGGGAGACTCCTGACTGCAGGCCATCCTCCCAGCTGGCAATGAGCACCTACCTCGCTGCCATGTGATGGTGGAGGGGTCGATGCAGAGGCGGGCGAATTTATTTATTTCTTCTTCCGTCAGTGAGTTTGGGTCTGTCTTATTTATTCCTAGTTTCTAATGATTAAGGAGAAGAAATGTGATGTTTTAGAAGGAACAAAAAGCAAAATATAAACCTACTTCTTTTATTTGCCCCATGACTAGTAAAGCCTTTTCAAAAAGTAAACTGAACTTTGTAAATTAGGTTAGGCCAGTTCATCAATTAATGCCTAAGTCCATATATCTCTAAATGGAAGACACTGATATTTGTAATTTAGCCTTAAGATGGGAGATCTGCAATGGAGCATGGTGGACAGTACACAAGCCTTGCTGGCATTTCAGCCTGAGGCTCTCAGGGCTGCTGACACAGCCACTGCATGCTGTTCCAGATGGGACACAAATGCTGTGCATGAAGCTGAGACTCCAGTTCATTAGTTCTTTCCAAATACAAATACCAGTAATTCCAGGCAAGTTTATATCTCTATTTTCAGAACAAGTTATTTCTAATTCACTAAGAAAAAAAAAACCATTAAAACTTTTAATCCATCTGTTTCTGTCAAAGGAACATTCTAAGAAAGTGGTTTTTAATGAAGTAGAAGAAAATAATCAGAGAATACAAACAGAAACAGAAACTATGCATGTAGCTGCTGAGCAAAGTACATTGTGCATTATTCTCAACAAACAGAACTTGGTTCTGTAAGAAGCATGGGGTGAATTTTTGAAATGAATTATTACCAACCAGTGGCTGTCAAATATACCATTAAAGTTAGGGTTCAGCCTCTGAAGAACAGCAAGGGGAAATCAGTGTGATTAGTAGAGGAGCAGCAAATAGCAACAGAAAATGATAACATGGATAACAGTTATGACCGCTTCAAGTACAATCTTGGTATCTTGCTGTAACAAAAACTGAGATGCATAAATTTCAAAGGCTGCATCTTATTTCCTAGAAATTTAAGAAATTTCATGAAAGAGAAGTGTCTCAGAAATTCTCATTTGTTAGTTGACTAGGGTGCTCAAATCAGCAAAGCAACCCTCTCATTTCAGAGAGGGAAGAAATGGAGACCTAAAAAGGCGAACGCATTTGTCCACTGACTCTTGGTGCATGACCCAGGTCTCAGGCCTCTAGTTCATTGTACTATCTCTACTATATTGTTCTGTCTCTTTGGAGTTTCACACCTGAAAGAGTATCTTTTTACAAAAACCCAAATCAAGTTCAAAATTTCTGGCTTTGATAAATATTCTGACTTGTCTCTGCGATATTTCTTTATAAAGAACTGCAAACTGTAAACTTACTTTCAGCCGAGCAAGTTGAATTTTTGAAAACTCTCGAGCGCCATTCACTAAAGGAACCAGTCGATTATACAGAGCCTAAAAACACAAAACAAAGAGAAAACCCCACTACAGTATGAGGACCAACCAGGAACTTGGACAATTTACAGGATACAACAAAATTAATTACATTTATAACCAAACTATTTAGATTAGAGGCCCTATTACTTGGCTAATACAAACAATGTACACTTAAGTTCTGTCATTTTAGTAAATCTGACTAGATCTGAAATACTGTGCATTGCAAAGAACCTGCACAAGCATACACATCTTGAACTATATAGTCTTACAACTTTCAAATTAATATTTACCTGGATTTAGCTTCAAAAACTCACTAGGGAGTTACTTTAATTGGAGGCAGTCAGGGCCCTTGTTAAACAGGCCACAAAGTCCCACTTTCATCCATGTCCTATGTCCATCAGGAGCCAGCACCTGGTACTCTGTCCCCTTCAGGTGTGTGATTTACCTCTCATACTCCATGCATTGAAGCTCCCCAAGGGGATCTGACCTCTTAACAGCACATCTTAAATGGCTGCATATAACATTACAGTCTTAAAAAGGTAACTAGTGGTTACCAAAGGGGAAAGGTTTGAGAGGGAGGGTGGGGAGGGAGGGAGAAGGGGACTGAGGGGTATTATGTTTAGTACACATGGTGTGGGGGATCACAGGGAGAACAGTGTAGCACAGAGAAGGGACATAGTGGACCTCTGGCAACTTGCTGCACTGATGGACAGTGACTGCATTGGGGTATGGGTGGGGACTTGATAATATGGTTAAATGTAGTAACCACATTGTTTTTTCATGTGAAACCTTCATAAGAGTGTATATCAATCATACCTTAATAAAAAAATTTTAAAAAAAGGTATCTATGTCTTCAATTCCCTTAGCATAGACCAAAGACTCGACCTAGGGGCAGGACAAAGAGAACTGGTCTCCCAACTACCTTCAATATTAAAGACTCGTCTCAAAGAATATTTGGCCTAAAAGCACAACTAATATAATTCTCCCAATAACTTGGCACTGGTCATAAACTCAATCTTGAGAATCAGACCAAAGTGTGGATCTTCTCCCTAAGAAATAGGGGCATACACAAATCACAAAGTTTTGGATAAAATTTCAGTTTACAGACTACAGAAGTTTCTCTATGAGCTCCTTCAGAATCCAGGAATCCCAGGATAAGACATCCAAAATGGCCAACAAGGAACTCTCCTCACCTTGTCCGTTTGAGTGTTTTCATGCAAAATCCTTGTGTCGATTGCAGCAGCTAGCAAGTTATTGGCAGCAGTGATGGCGTGAATGTCCCCAGTCAGGTGAAGGTTGAACTATAAATGAGAGGAAAACATCTTTCTGCTTGTTTCGAACAACCAAGGCAGTACTTAAGGACTTTCTGAATAAATAAAATACTATACTAACTATATATCCTTCTAATGAGTTAAGCCCATAAAACAGCCTAAATCAGAAAATCAATGTCAGGGTCCACTTGAAAGAAAAGAACCCTTGAGCAGGTTCTCTCGCTGCTCATTCTTGGCTTGAAGGTGATACATTCTGATGGGCTTAATGATTAACTTCCTTATTTTCTTTTACTTTATTCTTTTTCATTATTTTATGACTTAGAAAATAGTATAGTATCAAATATACTTTGGATTGAGGCAGGGAATAAAACAGTAACAATACAATAGTATAAAACATAACAGAGAGTCCAAGAAATAGAAAAATATATCACTCTAGCAATTACACTCTGCTGTTTTCCCTCCAGTCTTATAATTATTGTTTGTTGACTTGGTATACTTACAATTCAGTAACTTCTTTTAAAAAAAACTTATTACTGTGTGTTTTTGTGTAATCATCGAGTTTATATATAGTTACAGTTTATAGAGTTTGTATAATGGAGTAGATGTACCAAAATTTTTCAGTTTCCTATGTCCAGATATTTAAGTTGCTTCCAAATTTTCATTTTTGCAAAGAAGGCTACAACTGTAAAGAATACAAGTCAATAGATTTTTAAAAAATTAGTTGCTAGTTAAGTAATGTATTTTGAGCAGTGTGGTTACTGGATTAAAGGATCTTGATAATTAGATCAAATTGGTTTTTGAAAGGATTGAAGTACCACCCTGGAACACTTGTAGAACAGTACTTCAGAAACAAAGTAACCTTTGGACTAAAAAATGAGTTAATTTAGTTGATGAAAAAGTGGCATTCTGTTCTAATTTCTTGGAAGATTAAACACTTATGTTTTCTTGTTAACAAGTCATGTTATAAAATACGTGATCACTAGAAAACATGAGAAATTACATACGTATATCTTTTTATAATATTTGTAATTTTAAATATTGAGATCATATGACACAATAGTTTATATCTAGCTCTTCTACTCAATGTGGTTAGCACTGTTAATCATTAAATGGTCTTCAAAATATAGGTAATTTGATATCCTATTATTGGACATTCATGTTTTTCTCCTCATATTTTAGTGTTACAGACTAAGCTTTTCAATAGCCAATTTCTCCTGAAAAATTTGAGCCAAAGGGCCTGAATGTTTTAAAGTCATTTGATATACATATTTAACTCCCCTGTAGAAAAGTTTTGCCAACATATACTTCCCAGCAGGGCAGAGAAGTATGTATTTCAACCTCTTTTTGCAAAAATTTGGTATTGTTATTTTAAAAAATCCAACTCTGTCAATTTGATAAGTAAAATTATAATAACAGGATAGTGATTTCCATTTGATTATTAGTGAATATAAACATTCATTGATTAGTTAATATTTCTTTGCTGATGTTTCTATTGACTCCTTTGCCCATTTTACAGTTGGGGGTGTAATTTTCTCTTTTCAGTCATCTGTTTGATGCCCGCTGGGGTGTGCACAGGCCCCAAACAGCACTCTTGGCCTCCAGCCCCCATCCCACCCTCCAGCCTCCCGCTCATACTCCTGAGCCTCCACTGCAATAAATGATTTACAGAGCTGCTCAACCCAGTGTCCTGATTATCATCCTTGATAATCAAATATACCTTACATCATTGTCACTTTTCTGTCATTCTCACTGCCACCATCCTGGACCAAGCCACGCCGTCTCTCCTGGCTGACCTGCAGTCGCCTTACAAGAGTCCCCGTGTCCGCTCTGGGCCTGCATCAGTCTACGCTCTCCACAGAAGCAGGAGTGACTTTTATAGACCCCATCTGCATCATCCTGTTCCCTTTCCGGGGCTGACCATCAGAGTTCAAATACCATCCAGCCTCCTGGAGGAACTTGGTGGCCTGAGAGGGTTGGTCCTGGTCCCTTTCTCTACCTCTCCTTCCTCCACATGGCCCTGGCCCGCCGTATTTGCTGGCGTCCTCTCCTCCAGAGGACATCATCCCTTCCTGCCTCAGCGCCTCCCCACTGGCAGGTCCCACTGTCGGGAATGCTCTCCCGGGTTCTGTACAAGGCTGGCGCTTTCTCACCCTTCAGGTCACAGTATTTTCACTTCCAATTCTTCAGTCCATCTGGAATTTATTCAAGCCTTTTCCCATGATTATTGATTATGTTTCTTCCAGTGAGCACTGTCTGTTCATGCACTCAGTCAACAAACATGTCCTGAGTGCCAGATTCTGTGCTCAGTGCTGGAGACAGAGGGATGAAGATATGGAGGGTCCCTGATTTCAAGGACCAAACTGCCTGAGTGTGTTTGGCCTGCTCCACTATCATATGCCTTAAGTTTGCCCAACGCTGAGCCAAGCGGCTGATGCCGTACGACAGCAGCACACCTGTGCCACTTCAGTGTGAGCTGGCGACGTCCAGAGCTGTTCCCGGGGTGTGTTCCTTGACTCCATCCCCAACCTGGCTTCCCGGTTCTGGATCTTCCTGGCTTGCGAACATTGCTTCTTTCCCTTGAGAAGTGAAGCTTTGGGGCTCATTTTCTCAGAGATGCTATGGAATATTCTTTCTTAGTCCCAACCCCAATACTTGAAGATCACCCACATTTTTCCCTTTAGCTTCCTGACCCTCAGGCCTCTATGGGTAAACACCTTTCCTATTCCTTCATGAAACCAACAAATACTTCCTAGTGAGCACCTACTATGTGCTGGGCACTCAGCCACGTACTTGAGCCGATGGCCTCTAACTCACCACAGCCGACCAGACCAGATGGTGAAAAACAGAGTAAGAGGGGATGTGTTGGGTGGAGCAGAACCTAGAGAAGATGAAAAGGGAGGGAGGAACATTCCAGGCTTAGAATCAAGAGGCAGCAGGGCAGGAGTCTGCAAGGAGTTTGATGGGGTGGAGAGAGGGAGGGCTGCACATGGGGACCTGAGACAATGAGGCTGGAGAACACAGGCGCCTGCTGTGCGGTGCTGGAGGGTGATGAAGTGACTACTGAAACATATCGGACAGGGAAGTGACCTGTTCAGACCTGGGTTGCAGGAAGATTTCTCGGATCCTTAACTAGAGGCTGATGCAGAGAGTAGAACTGATGGCACAAAGTCACTGGTTAGATTCAGAGGGCAAGGGACTGGTTAGGCAGGGTGTAGAAGGAATTCTTGGAGAAATAAGAACTGACATCGTTGGCCCCTTCTGTCCATTTTTCTTTGGAATGATTTGATTATGGAGTCTCAGTTTACAGAGGTGAAGAGTCCATGTTTTCCAGAGTCTGGCAGCATCACAGGTGATTGATAGAGATATAGGTCTGCATCCTCTTATCCTAAAACCTTGAGGCCAGATGGGTTGGGGGGCTCAGAATTTTTTGGAACTTAGAAAGGTAGTGTGATGTACATATAATCTGTTTTATAAACACTTCAAGCAGGGTCTAGGTCAGCATCCATTAATCAAAAACAGTATTTCTGCAGCAAAATATGTGAATATTGACACCAAGTGGCATAGAAAAAATGTAACAGCAAGTGGCAGATTTTGCTACAAAATGAGTCATGCAAATATTTTCATTTTTTTTAGAGCCTGTAGGACTTTGGAATTGAGGATAAGGGGCTGCGGGCCTGTGTTTATGGGAACACAGAAAAAAAGGGTGGCAGGGTGGGGGGAAAACAGTGACAGATGACTTGTGTCTTGTTGAGACCTTACCTCCTCCATGGGGATGACCTGGGCATAGCCACCACCAGCGGCCCCTCCTAAACAAGAGAGCAGGCGTCACTGAAATGAGTCACCAAGTACAGCCACCCAGAATGAACAGGGCCCTGGGACACAGCTCCCCATGCCAAACAGGGAGGCAGGCATGTCCAGGATGAACTAACAACAGGCAGGGAGAAACTTTTAACCGTGTCAAAGTAGAGCTGAGGGGGAAAGCTCACACCATGTCCAGCTAGGCGATGTAAGGACTTTGGTTTCTTTTTTTTAAAGGAAGAGTACAAGTCATATGGCAGAGGTCATTATAGCAAACATGAAGTTATTTTATTAAGTCATTATTAGATGCATGTGGTCATGCTTCACCTAAACTGCACCTGCCTTAAAGTATCAAAAAACTTAGTTGAAAAAAATCCACCTGATAATCTCAGACTGACACATCATGAACTTCAATTACTTTAGATAACAGTATATAAGGTTTATCATGCCACTTCTCTCTCAAAATAGTAATGTTATTACATTAAGATGACTTCTCCTTCCTAGAACAATAATGATACCTTCCATGCCCGTATCATTTTAGTTAGTTTACCCTGTGTTTTATGCTATCTCATTTGGTCAACAACCCCCTAAGCCTGGTACTATAAGCCTTTTTGAACCTTTGCAGATGCAGCTCAGAGAGGTTATGACTAACTAAAGGCCACACAGCAGTTAAAGACACAGCCATGAATAAAACCTTGGGCTTCTTGCTCCAAGTCTGGTGTTCAATCCACTACATAATTTATGATATTCTGTGTTATCAGTACTTACTGAGTTAGGAGTTATTAGTATTTGTAGCAGTCATATACATATAATACTGCCAAGACCCACAAAGTACCAAGCACAAGCAGCAATTGCAGCAATAAATGCTATTGTAAAGTGAGCTGAAGAATGATCTCATGGTAAATCAATGCAGGAAGAGTGGCAGGTGTGAGGAGGCTGGATATCAGCCACCACAGCCAGAGAGGAGTTTCGTCACGCCCCTCCGTCCCCAGCCAGCCAGCTTCCAGAGCTCCACAGGCGCCACACTGCAATTTAAAGGGCAAAACTCAGGGGCCAAATTAAAGGGTCTCTAACTGTTTGGATGGAAAGATGGTTCACCATGATGGTGAAACACAAATATGAATGGCAGAGTTTCAAAATCACTTGGCAAAGAGGTACCGATGAAATGGAAGGTGTCTGGCTCAAGGATGGAGCCCTGAGCAAGAGCCTGGCTAGGGCTCAAGAACCCAGGGGATCCCTGAAACCCCACCTCTGCAGAGGACCAGCTGGCAGGTACCGCCATGTACGAGTGTGCTGGGGGCTGGGGTGAAAGGTACCAGTTCCTCTCATAAATTTTAACTTCCCATCTGTTGATGATGTTCTTGTAAAACTTTTCTCTCCCCCAAATTTCGCTCTGAAAAACATACTAGTTGTTAAATCAAATACCTTTAACTCCAAAAGTTGGTCCTTGAGAAGGCTGCCTGAGACAGGCGAAGGAGTTGATATTCAGGTGAGCGGTCAGCGCCTGTACAAGCCCAATTGTAACTGTACTTTTCCCTTCTCCAAGGGGGGTAGGGGTGATCCTGATTTGAATTAAAAAAAAAAGGAGTGTATTTAATAATATTTCCTATGACCTATGCAAAATCAACCTAAGGTAGCAGAACCATGTCAGAGAACACTGGTAGAGAACACACATTCCAAAATTCACTTAATAGTTCAACTACCTTGGGCATACTTGAGCTAAATCAAATACAGACACACCTTTGCCAAAACACCAAAAAAAAAAAGAAAGAAAAAAGAAAAGCTGTTCAGTAGTGGTGGTGTTAACAATATTAACTTCAAGAGAAGGCACAGAATTATCCATCAAAACGGCTGAAGTAATGAAGCTGACGTCATTCCTTGCTATTGGGGAATGTGGCATTCCTTCTTCTAGGCCATTTACAGGGGGCATAGTGGGGACACAGAGCCTAACTCAATGGTCCACAAGCGAGTGAAGCATGGCCAGACTGTCAGGATTAGAAACAATTCTAAGGTGCTCACCCACCCATCTCCTTCTAGATACCAGTACCCAGGGCTTTTCCCTACCATGTTTTAACACAGATAGTGATGGATGCTCATTACCTTTAGGGTGGCCCCCATTTATTTCCATATAGCTTTTACAGTTAGAAAGTTCTCTGTCCTAAAGAGGACATTCCTGCACGCCTGTAGTCAGCTACACTAAACTTAATTCCTTCCCATAAAACAGTTGCTCAAATACTTGGAGAGAATTAGTCCAGAACTCCTCAGCACTCTGAGAACATCACCTCTGCTCTGGAGGAGCTAACTGTTGACCACAGCATCCTACAAACCCAAATGTCACACGTTCACAACAACATCCCAGTACTAAGTCACAGGACAGGTGTGTGCTGTGCTGCATTCCCAAGTAAGGACCCATCAAACTGCTCCTGAGCATACTCTAACCATTGTTACAGGCTTTAGACACAGTCATTTTGGCTTATGATTTGGTCTTTTATAAGTTAGATGGTATGACTTAGGTTGTCTAGGGTACTCAGCCATAACAGAACTGGTAAGTTTTCTGACCTGCAAAACCTAGTGATGTGACCACCAAGAAGAAATGCCCTCAGATATGTCATTTCCAACTATCAGAAACCATCACAACAATTCACTCAGTTATCCTTTCAGCAAATATGCAGTAATGCATCACACTACTAGGTACCAGGAGACAGACTCTGAGGACACAATGATGACCAAGTTGGACTCCCTCTTGGGAGTGAGCTGCCCTCTCTGAGCTTATGACTGATGGGAGACACGGAGAGGTAAGTCTGCAATTACAATGAATGTGATAAACACTAAGACAGGGAAAATAGGTCAATTAGATTGTATTATGAGAGCACATGGATGGAAGGAGGATTTAATTACTTTTGGAATGTTAGGGAAGGCTTCCTGGAGGAAGTAACATCTAAGCTGGAAACTGCAAATGAACAAACGTTAGCCAAATAAAAGTGAGGGGGCGTTCAGGGTAGGTAATACACTAGGGTCTGTGCTTTCTACTTACTGAGTTAATTTTTATCCTTATTTGATGGAAGAGGAAACTGAAGCCCAGGGAGCAGAAGTAACTTGTCCAGGGGCACCCAACCAGTAAGCCGGAGAGCTGGAAATCAAGCCTAGACAAGTCGTCTGACTCCACTTGGTTTCCAGGGACAGAAACTGTTAACTCTAATTGGCAACGTCAAGCACAGGAATGGGTCAGATCACTCAGTGAGAGTGAAATAGAGCTCAAAAAGGCCTAAGGATGGCACTGTCAAGAACATCCTCTCTTAAGGAATAGTCAGGAGAAGAGGGCAAAGGAAACTGAGAAGGAGCAGAACAAAGTTAGGGGGATCCTGAGGAGGCGGCGGGGCTGTGACAGGGGAGTCTGGGAAGGGAACCACGTTAGTGTCCATGGAGTCACTTCCCGGGAGGTCTGAAGATGGTGAAGATGCAGAAACGGTCACCGGTCACCAGATTGAGCAACAAGGAGGTCGCTGCTGGGGAGCTGGGGAGTCAACCTGAGTAAGGCTTGGGGGCGTGTGTACACCTGCAACTCCTCAAGGCGCATGAGACTTGATCAACACGAAGTCTCGAGTTACATGGAAGTGTTTCTGTTTTGAGTCAACTTTCCTTTTTCTCAGCATAAAATAAACTGAACAGAATACAAGCATGAAAAAAAGAGGCAGAAAGTCACAGGCCTCACAATCATACAACAGCTTGTTAAGAAAATGTGGTATCAGACAGGATAGATAAAGTAATGAGCTGTTTGCTTAGGATAGGTGGTTTACTCAAATGTGTCACATGAAGGATTACATTTTGGTTCCCCAAGGATATGCTAACAGAGCTGCTGGAGACAGCCAAAAGCCGACACGCCCAGAGATGACCTCCTCAAAACTTCAGCTAAGCATCCAATTCCTAATTAGAAACACAGGACTGCTTAGCTTTCTGCCAACAAATACAATCCAGGAAAACTGGAGAGTAGGAAGTATTTATTGGGAGCAATAAAAGGTGAGCGATGATAAAAACTTCATTTCACCTCATTCCTACATTTGGTATCAAAATTTGGTTTAACTGTTGTCCTAGTACCCAGAGCTCAGATTCCAAATTATCCAGTTGGCTTAGAGGAAAACAAGCACCATGCCAACCCAATTTCTTCTCGAAGAGCAGAGTTTATGGAGACAAAGCTGTGACTGTTGTGCACCACCTTCCTCAGCTTCTCCCAGCAGATCGACCTGCTCTCTCTTCTGCCCCTCACATTTATTATGTGTGTATTATGTACCTTTTCGGAGGGCATGACCAGAGAGTCCCTGACACCTCCGTCTCACCTCCCAGCACACCAGCTGGCCAAGGTGAAAGACTATGCCCATCCTCACTGCACATCTGCCACCTGTTCAGGCTTGAACAAAGGAATGACATCTTTCTACGACAAATACTGTTTGCCATCAATTATGGCAAAAATTTATTGAAAACTGACAATTTGGACATTTACCAAGAGAGGTTTACCATTTAATCAAAGGTCAAAGAGATTGCTTGTGCAGAAATTAGTGCTAACACTGAACTGTTCTCAAATCAAGAATCTTGTTGAACAGTTTAATTTAATTATCCACAGATTTAACCATGAACTTCGAAACTATATGCTCAAACAGCCTATGAATACCATCACTCATCCCAAGCACTATAACATGGAAGGATTTTTAAAAGGCTTTTATTACCTAACAGTAAAGTCTACAGACCATTTGTTCTGATTTCCCACCACACTTGACTAAGGCCAACAGTTTAAAGGCCCTGTCAGTAGTGGTTTCTTCTAAATACCTTCATTCTATCCTGCAAGTGATGTAGATAGAAGAAAAACTCAGATATTTATTGCAGTAGTTACCTAAGGCAGAAATGCAAAATCTTAAAAAAATCAGTGAATTCACACTGGCCAAAATAATGGTTTCAAACTTAAAAAAAAAAAAAAATTCAGGTATTTCGTACTCTGCTGGATGAAAAAAATGAGGTGACATGAATGATTTTAATTTTTAAAATGTGAAATTCAGTCAATTCCCAGACCAATTTCAGCTTCTTTTTTAATTGCTCTGTCCAAGCAATTCAGAGAAATGCTAAAACCTGCACACCAACTGGCAAAGGGCCAACGGAGACCAGTCCTGCACACATTCATACTCTACAGCTGCACGCCGAGTCATGTTCTCAAACAAATTCCTTTTCATTAGTGTAACTGGGAAAATATGTAAAACTCAAAAGCCTCTAAGATTCTTCTGGCATAGTTCCCTGAACAGTTCCCAATACTTTTCATTTTGTCAGGCAAAGAGAATAAAATGATGTGTAGGTGTAAATAACATGCGATGTGTAGCTGATGAAATACAGATGATTCTGACAGAATGAGAAATCCTGAAGTTTAAAGAACAGCTTTGTAAAACAAATTAATCTGTTCTGCATTTGGGTAACAGATTTTTTAATCCATTGTTTTATATTTTAATCCTATGTTGATATATGTAAATCATGTTTACACATAAATTAAAATGCACAGTAACAAATATATTATTTAGGTTTACTGGAAAATTATTTGGGTATCTGAATTCTTCTAAAGCATGGGAAAAAGATTACGTTATAGTATTCAGAGATGAAACAGGTCACAAAATGGTATTTATGGCATGATCTCAATGTGTAAAAAGGATGGATACAGAGAAAAAATCCTGAAAGGAAATATAAAAATTTTTAACGCTTCTGAGTAATGAGATATTTAGTTTTCTCCTTCTTTTTACTTTGTCTTTACGTCAAATTTTTATACAATAAACCAATATTATTTTCAGAATAAAAAAAAAAAACTTTCAGAGAAAGGAAATAATGCTCCATTTAACCAGTCATTTACATTTCTAAAGAAACCAAAAGAACACATATAATGGTTTGATAATGTCACTTTTCCATAACAGACGTGACCAAAAATAAAAATACAGAGGTGAATTTTATTTCAAATGAACTTTTCATTGTAGATTATAAATGACTCTTGTGTTTTAAACTGATCTCAAACATCCAGATCAGAAAAAAGGAAGTTTGTACTTAAAAAATACATCATTTGTTGTGTTTTTTGGGGTCTTTAATCCTCTGCTACAGAATACTGTATGGTACATATTTTCTAAAAATCTTTAAGCTCTGCTACAGATGCATATATCTCTCAAATGCTACCCTCACAGCTTTTTTTTTGATGCCATTGTTAGGAACACAATTTAATTTTTCCTCCACTAGTCTTTGTTATGTAAGGGAACTTATACCCCACTTTCAGGAAAATTACTGTCAATTACTTGGCATTAAATTTGTATTTGAGAATTCTTGAGGTTTAATTTTCATTTCTATCTACAACGTGACGACCCGGCTTCTTCCACTCTGTCCCACATCTAAATGCTCCTACAGACAGTGCAGAGCAAGGCCCTGCCCTCCTCCTGGGTATGGACAGACACGAGGCTGCACTCCAGGGGAGTTACGCCAGGGTTCACTCTCAGTGTGTGGCCAGGCCTTGACAATGAGACTTCAAGTCAGGAATCTGATAATACCATCGGAACTTTTGTTTGACATGTTTCAATTCTGTGTTCCCAGAGAAGGGCAGGACAATGTCTAGATCTGTGTTTTCCCATCTAATATCGACAAGCCCCAAAAAGAGTAAATCACAAGCACTCCCTAAGAAAAACGGCTGCATGAGTCTTCTTTGTTAACCAAGAACATGTCCCCCTGAGTTTCTCTTAAGTCCGCCTGCCTTAAACAGGGTGAGAGAACCAGGGAACCCACCTACCAAGATTGCTTAAAGCCTAGAAGAAGGGAAGCAAATCTGTGGATAAGATGTTACATTTGATTTTGAAGTTTTAATGTCCAAAAGTTTATTTATCTCTGTAAACAAATTCGTATCAAGTATACTTCCAGAAAAGCAGCAACGACTAGATATGCGCTCTAAACTCTGGGACCCAGGAATTCCCCTCCTCAGCAAGCTCCTTGCACGCATCCAGCCAGAGGGTGCCTGTAGGTGGGGCAACATCTCCCCTCAGCAAGGAGTGTTCCTGCAGTGCTGTTACAGGGACATTAGGGACACTGGGAATACAATGTAGGGAGCCTGGGGATTTCAGGGAGGTTTAGGCCACAGGCAACCAAAGTGCAACAGAAAGGTCTGAATTCCTTGAAAGCACAGCCCAGGGACACTGCAAGACCCTGGCTATGTATCCCTCTTATGCAATGGTAATAGAAGGGATAGGAAAGGAGGAAGTGGAGGAAGAGACCTGAAAAAACTATTATTCCATTAAAGAGGTGATATTATGGATAATATCCTGCTTTATTTGCCATTTCATCTGTATTTGTAGCTTGAAAAAACTGAACTCATCTCCAAGGATTTTTCCTAAAGAAATTGTTACACAAATTCAGATACGCATGCCCACGGTTGTTAATTTTAGCACTGTTTATAATGCCCAAAAAAGGTGAGGTTTAAGTGCTCATGAATAGAGGATTGGCTCAATAAACTGTGGGACATCCTTAAAATATTTTCAAATCATTTTTCTGTCTCCATACACCTGAAAAATTAAAGACATGCTACACTACAAGTGGCTGAGCCACAGCAGCGCTTCTCGGTGCTGGGAAGACATGCAAAACAATCCACAATCCTCCCAGGCACTTTTACTAGCCCTTGCCCAGGTGCTATCGCCCTGCATGGCTCAGGTATGAGGCAGTGGAATGCTATACAGTCATGCAAAATGATAACCTAGCTCTGTACTGACTCACATGGAGCTTTGACACAACACATGGTTGGATAATCAAGTTGTTTACAGAATAGCACATGTAAGATGATCTCACTAATGACAGACTGTATCTGTGCTAAGACGGTCTCAAATATTAGCAGCCGTTTCCCTAGGATAATAGGATTTGGGATGTATAAACATTCTTGTTTATACTTTCTGTAGTTTTATAACTATGCATCATATTTATAACTGGAAAAAGAAATAAAGCACTTATATTTATAATAACAAAGTTAACTATGGGTCAAGTTCAGTTATAAGAAATGTCTCCGCCTGTTAACAAATGGATTTTTGTGCCTCAAGCCTTGGCCTATATACCATTAGTGAGTCAATACAATGGAATTTCAAGACAGTGAAGGAATTTATATGGAATCCTCATGTTCCCACAGGTCAAACTGAATAAATATTTGAAATCCCTTGTTTTCTATCATTTTTCAGCTAGTGAATGTATTTTTTTAAAAACAGAAAAATAAAGCAAATACTTCTTTCCACAAATACATTTGCCTGTTATAAAATGGTCAACACAAATAAAAATGACCCAACATCAATTTGAAAATGCAAGAAAAGAGAAATAATGAGTTTTGTAATGCAAATATATAAATAAATAATTTAAGGGTATTAATAGGACAATGTCAATTTCACACCATTATCTGTACATTTCTTCATTAAAATGTTATTTCTAAGAACAGATACATATACAAAAATCCCTATTCCCTCAAAATGTTTTACTTTCAATTCTTATTTTGATTTTTTTCATGAAAAACTAAACCAAAAAAAAATCCAAAGTGGAACAAGAGTGATCAAAACACAATAAAAAAAATTAGTACTATTATACTTCATATTTTGTGGTGCATACTAATTTGTTTTGCCCTGAAAATAAAAACTTCCCACATGTCAAATGAAGGAATGCCAAGTGAAATGGACAGATGAATGTCAAGTTTGAGAGCAGGATAGATTTGAGGGGTGTGATCACAGATATAAATAGGGAAGAGAGTTTCATAAAGGTGTCTTCTTAGTAAAACAGAGTTTAGAAGTAGTCTTACCCAGCAACTAAGACGTATTTTCCATCTGCTTGGTCCTTTAACCTTTCCAGCAGGGACAAACGCACTTTGGCTTTGCTTCTGCCATAGATCTCGATTTCGTCTGCAAGCAATCCTATCTCCTTGGCAAGAACATCCACAGCTTTTGGAGTCTGTGATCTTGAAATCTCAATATCACTGTGGGGGAAACACGTAAGAGGCAAAAGTCTTCTCAGCTTTGGTGGTCGCTGCTAGAGTGAAAAACAGCCATACACCCTGCCAACGCCTAAATCCAAGTAACTGCCCCATGGCCCTGTCTCCCAAGCAGTATTACATGCCTGCTAACAATTAATATGCACGCAGAAATGGTGTATTCTTTTAGAGAAACAAGTCTTTAAAAGTCATAAAGATGCTAGAATTCTGCCCAGGTACAAAAATAACATATACATCATGGAAAAGGAGACCTGTATACTACAATGTGTCCAAAAGCTTCCTGTATTCATGGTAGAGTACAATACTTTCTACAGGTCACCACTGTACTTGTTAATCATGAATAGATGGGTTATTGCATAATGCTCCTACTGGGCGAGCCACATGTCTCTTGACTATTCAAAAATGTGAAAATACAATTTTGTTTTATCTGTGTCCATACTTTCCCTCTCTCTTTCTTATTTCAAGTCCAAAATCATATTTAAAAATATTTTATTAATTACATAACTGTTGGTAAAAAGGACCTAGTGCCTGAAGCTCAATTTCAGGCACAGGAAATTTTAGGAACTCAAATGTCACTGGGCAAATAATTGAACTCTTCTGCTTTACCGCCAAGAGGAGAACACTGCCGCACATTTCACAGGGGTGCTGTGAAACAAGCATGTGCTGAACTTCTGAGAGTCTTTTGGGGCTCCCAAATGATCCGTCTGGCTGATCATCTGTTTGGGAGTGTGAGCTGGAAGGCACAGCCAGAGCTCAGGAGAGGGGGCATCACAGGCATGGCCGCACCGCGGATCAGGGCTGACATCCGGGAAAACTCAGGGAAACCTTATTCAGGGGCACAGTGACCCCCACTGGCAAGCAGTCCCCTGCCCTGAGGTGTTTTTCTGTTGCTCCTGCTGCTAATGCGCTCTCATACGGCCCTACATTCTTCTCCCTAACTCCGGAGATCTGACCTGGATGCCACAGTTTGCTGGGAGAGGGAGAGTGTGCCCGGGGCTGGGCTGCGTTTCCAGCCAGGAATGCCTGCCTCAGGTGCCCCATTTCCTTTCCAGTTCTCCTCCCCCACCTCCCCCACTGTCCCTGATCCCACTGCATTTGCCTTCCTGGCTACACCTTCTTCAGACTCCGAAACTGAAGAGCTTACTCTCGGAAAATCTCCAAGGTTTCTCCTCACTGGCCAGACTGAGTGATACATATCTTGATTTTCTGAGTGATTTATAAGCCACTTAGCCTGCCTTTCTTTCCCAGGGGGCTCTAGAAGTCAAATTTGATTAAGCAATTAAAGCACCTTTTCCCCCAGGTAAAATTTATTTTGATTTATACAAAACACTTTGGTACACAATTTGACAGAGTCCATACTTGGACGTTTTTTAGCTCTCTTTAAGTAGAATGTACTCATTTATTTTCAAAAATTAAGGTAACAACTTAAGTAACATAAATAAGATACTTTACAGAGCAGACTGAACAACTACAGGGATGGTACTACAAAGGACAAAATTCCTTGGAATTTATGTATTTATATGAACACAGAAGATGACTAAGATGTTTAGTCTATTTCAGGGGTGAAAACATAGCCTGGATGGTTTCACCAGCCTGGTGGGTACAGTCAAACCGCGGTGTTCGGCTGACACAGTGTTCTGCTATGGCCCAAGGAAACAGAAGTCAAATCTAAATAGCAACTGTCTATCAAATGAAAAATCAGTCAATTACTGGAGGTTTTACCTACTGACATTTTGTAGATTCCAATGCTGGCAGATGGATCTGTCAAAGAGTCGGGCATCATGCACGCCCTGGATGAAGCGGGTCGGGGACAGTTTACTGGGAAAGGACAGCTGGAGGGGACTTACTATGAGGCTGGAAAATGCATTTCTCTGGCTGACATACCTTACCTAATTATTTTAAAATCACATGCTGAGACTATGTCCTCAAGTTTGTATTTTAACATTTATACAGAGAGCATATATAGCTTACACCTCATTAAATACCACTCTGAAGAGAATATCCATCTGGACTATCGCAAGTACCTTGTCAGATAGCAGATATCACTGTGTTCTGAAGGAGGCCGAACGCACTTCCCACACAGAATGGTATTTGGTTTGGTTGCTCACTTACTCTTGCAGCAGAAACCTACAGGGCCCTAAGACCAAGCCTGTGCTGGCCGTTTCTAACACTGGAAAACCCATTCCGAGTATTACATTACCACATTTTGTCAAACCTAAGACATTGCGAGTTTATGGATCACTAAGAAGAAAAAGCACTACCATTTAATAGGATATATTATTGACAGTAAGTACATCCTGATTTCAAAAATGGAAAAACACCTTAGAATTGACAAAATATGATGAACACATTATTATTTAATTTGGGAGGACTTAAAATGATAGATAAATAGGTACAGCAGTTAGAGACAGTTATCCCCCACCAAAACCATAACATCTTGGTTGTGCCCCCACCCAATGGGTAATTTTAGATATTTAAGGCACCTTGGTGAGCTGATGTCAGTATAAACAAATCTCCCAGATACCTTGGTACAGGGGAGAGAGGCTGAAGTTTCAAGCAGTGAAGTCTCCACCTCGAGTACTGCTGTTCCCGAAGCCACCTCTTCCCACTGCTGACCATGTTCTTCAGTAGGGACAGAAAGGAAAGCATGTTACTTTTGTAAAAGCTGACAGGGTATGTACCTAAGCTATGAAAATATTGCTCAGGGATGCTGTGTCATGAAAAGGATGATGAAATTGCACGATGACCCAAGTGAATCAGGAACAAGTTTATTCACACATAACTGTAGGCTTTTCTTAAAAGAAAATATGGGATATATACTCTTTTTTAAAATAGTGAATACTTAAACTCGGCATCAACTACATGGACAAAATTGTAAAGTGCGTTCTTCATCTCAATTAGGAAAGAAAGAAAAATGAGGAAAATATGAGAATGCATGAGTGACTGCTTGAACACCCAGCTTCCAAAATTTACAATACCAGGTCAAGTGTAATCCTTTTACAGTTGATGTAACAGAACAAGCGAGTTGAATTATTACTGCCTCTCATTCTTATTAAATTATTATTTAATAAACTATCATTTAATAGTACATACACACACACACATAGAAATAAAATTGGCTTTAGTTGAAAGTAACACAATATCCTTACAGAAATGTATTATATTCCATTTCAAAGTAAAAACTTTTAATTGTGTATTACCATGTATACAACAAATTAATGAACTAAAACTTGCTTCTTTTTAATTCTACTGGGGCCAAAATTACAGGCTTTCTCTACTGATGGTTAATGCCACTGCCGGTGGTCACCACCACTGCCGACTCTACGGCCAGTGACCACATGGCTAATATGGTGGAGATCTTGGGCTTTAGGTCACATAGATGTGGTCTGAAAAGATGTCCACAAATTCTTTAACGCCCCTGTCTTGAAGAGGTGAGCTCAATTCCCTTTCCTTTAAATGTGAACTACACTGGGGCTTTGCTTTGAGTGAAGAAGAAAAAGGACTTTTGGAGACTAGTTCATAAAACCTCCCGCAGCTCCCTCTTTGCTCTCTCCTCTGGACTGCTCATTCTGGGGAATTAGCTGCCACACTGTGTGCAGCCCTGTGCAGAAGTCCACATGATGAGGAACACAGGCATCCTGCTAGCAGCCACTGAGAATTAAATACCACACGCCATGTGAGTACACCCGCTTGTAAGCCGGTCCTGGCCCCAGTCAAGCCTTCCAATGAATGCAGCCTCCATGACCTCTTTATTCCCACTGCATGAGACCCCGAGTCAGAACCATCCAGCTATGCTGCAATCAAATCTCTGACCCACAGAAATTGAGAAGTAATAAATGTTTGTTGTTTAAAGTTGCTAAATTTGGGGGGTTATTTATGACACAGCAATAGATAACTAATAATAACAGGCCCCAAATTGGGTCCCTGCCCCATACTTGTCATGTGACCAAAGGCAAGTAATATAATCCTCTAAGTCTCCATTTCCTCATCTATCAATTGGGAATAATATTATCTTATAGGATTGTTGTGAGAATTAAATGACATTATGTGTATAAAGTGTTAGACACTGTGTCTGCTAACAGAAAACACCTGCCTCATGTTAGCCACTATTAGTCAAAGCTCCAAACTCAAAAATTCTCAAATTGCTGTGTCACACAAACCTGAATCCGCAGAGCTGCAGCAAGGAGACTCACATCCTCCTCTGCAATGAGACCACTAAACTGTGTCTCAGGAGAACCACATCCATGCTTCCCTGTAAAAAAATTTGAGGGTGAAAAAAAAGACTTTCAGTGTATTGTCATGTATAACCAATTACTCCTTGTGAAAAGCCAGCACCCAGAATGATGTTCTTATTTTCAACCAAGGAAGATAAGTTATCATGGCACAGCAGCAAGTAAGGTCAACAACAGTCCCTGGCACAGCCTTGGGATTCTCGACTGGGCCACACTTTAGATTGAGACTGCATTAGAATCTTGCCTCTATCTCTGACTTGTGACTTTGGGCCTGATAATCAATGTGAGTAATACCGACCTCATGGAGTGCTGTGAGAATTGCATGTGATGTGGTACATAAAGTGCTTGGCATATAGTGTGTATGTCTGAACAATACATTTAAAGAACAGCAATTTTACTGATGAACACAAAGTATAGGAAGGGGGACCAAAATGCCAGTAAGAAAGCCCAGCCAAGGGGTTGTGTGAAAGATCAGGCTTTCTTTGATAATTTAAAAAATCTCTGACATAGAAGTCATATGACCAACTATCCATCAAAATGGAGAAATGACATTTTTGGATGTTACTTTTGGGGGATTACCTGGTTTTCAAAATAGAGAGGTATTTATTTGAAATCTACTTTTTCCTTCTTTAGTGGGCACTTACAAAGTTTATGAAAAGTAAACACACATGTAAAATGATTTAGCCTATATCCTCCCTTTAAGAAACATTTCTCATTGCAACTTTTTTGAATTAAGAAACTATTTCCCTCATTTTGGACCACTCTACTTTTAAATTATTCATTTGCTGACAGTCCCTTGCAAGAAAGAGCACAAAACACCTAAGTGTTTTGTGATGTTCTATAGTCAAGTGTATTAAGGGTGTTGGAAAATCATATCCCTCAGGTATTGTTTAAAGATTAGCAACACTTCAGTTTTATAAATCATATTTAGGCAAAAGCCAAGAGTTTAAAGAATGAGAGAGATTTGTTTTGTTTTGTTTGAACCACTAGAGATCTGATCTGAAGGTCTTGTCCAACCACGAGGGAAAAGAAATATGCTTCTCTCATTCTTATCTCTACCTTTAAATAATGGGGAAATATAATAAGAAAAAGCACATTGTGGGAACTTGTATCAATTTATTAATGCATATTCCCATAACAGATTCACAAAACTCACACAAGGGAAGAATTTCACCTACAGAATTACAAAGGGAATAATTCCTCCCATAGTGTTCAGACTGTCCTGAATAAAATAGAACGTGGCTAAAATCAACAAAGATTTTAAAACAGATGACACACATACACCTATATTTTAAACTTTAGAATCTTGTAGAAACTGATTTTTATCTTTTCGGAGAGACAGCTAGATTTCAGTAATGCTTTTAGTATCATGTTATTTCTTTTTCTTATAGTCTATCCAGTAAAATTAAGTTTAATGCTTTTTTATGGGAAAATGTAAAATGGATATCCCAAGCTGGCTGCATTGGTAGTTATTGTTATTTCCTTCTGGGCACTGTTCTTTGTTTCACAACTTTCCCACCATGAACACTATTGCTTTTGTAGCAGGAACCAGTATAATCTTAAAACTGAATTTAAATTCTGAAGCCAGAAAATTTGAAGAAATTAAGATGGTAACTCAGTGAATCAAGAATACATTTCCTAATAAATTTCATGGCTGATGAGAATGGAGAGACAAAATCATTACCTCACCCCCTTGCTTGTGTGGGGGCAGCTCCCCCGAGAGGCTGCCTGCACTTGGCCTGTTGAGTCCAATGTGGTCCCACCCCGACCAAAGGGGTCTTTTCAATTACCACGAAACACTCTCCGCTAACTCATGGTTCCTCCAGAGACAAGTCAGTGAACCACTTTAAAAGATGGCCTTTCATCTGTGATTTTTCTTACAATAACCAAAGTTTCTACAGTAAGAAAATTTAAAGCTGAAGTGTCATAATGCTTTCCCTGGAAATCAGAACCGCCCTTTCCCTGATGGGATTTTGCCAGAATAAATGAAGTGGGAGGAACCAAGGCCAATTCTTTGGTCTCCCTGCCATCTCTGCTATGTGGAAACGTTTCAGCTTTTCTACAATCTGGACAACGGCCCCCACTTCTTATCACAAAAGGGCTGTATCAACCCATAGAGGGAACTCTCAAATATTTTCTCCCCCTCTGGGAGACGAAGTAACTCCAAAAACTCCATGTGATGTTTTGAAAACAGGAAGGGCTAAAAATTACAAATTAGTACAGATAACACTTTCAAAAAACACAGGTAATTAGAGTTTAAGCTCAATGAAATTTAAGTATAATTTTTGTGACAATGTTCCTAAGAGTTTCACTGTAGCTTAAAACATGTGAATTCCACTATCAATGACAATTACTATTTTTAAAACTATAATGTAGGACTCTTCAAAGAAAGGAATATAATTAAAATATTAGTATCAATTTATACAAAGCAGCCCTTTGAAATCACTGAAACCAAATTATGAAGGAATTAATATAGAGCTGTATATGCTAAATGGCTGAGCCTTTCTGCAAGGTATATTGGGAACTGGTTTAAATTTGAAATGAAAAACCAGCAAAAATGTATCTCAGGGTAGGTCTGAAACCTCCAAAATTTCCTGGGGAAAAAATTAAGGGAAACAGGTAATTGATACAATGGATTTTAGAATAGAGTTCAAAAGTCATAAGCCAATGTCTTAATTTTACTCCAAGTACACTAAGATAATGATTAAAATTACACACATGCCTACTTTCTCTAAAGCTTTCTTATCTTCTCAGCATCTCATAGGACCTCCTTCCTTGGGCTAATTTTCAAAAACAAAGTTAGTTCATTTTGCTACCATGAAGTCTGAGAGTTAATCTGTGCCTTGATGATTTGGCAACAATGAAGCAGAGGGAGGGAAGTGGAGGAGGTGGACCCACATCTGTTGGCCTCTTCTATGAAAGAGCTGCCCTCTCATTTATTCCTCCTAACAGCCTTCTCCCTTTCCCTTAAATGTGAATTGAAAGATCAGAGTTTAAGTTATTTGCTCAGTCATATAGCCTGTAGGTACAATACAATTAAGAGTCAAAAAAAACCCCCAAAAAACAAAAAACAAAAACCAAACAAAATCCTCTCTCCTTGAGTCAGATCAATTCTGACTCGAATTCCATGCTCTTCCCACTACATTATACTGTCTCCCTTAGGGGCAGTAAGAAGGCAGGCTCGAGGCACGCCCCAGCATCCCCCAGCTCATTAGCATGAGCCCTGGGATGCAGCCCAGGGTTCTGCCCCCATTCTCCTCTGAATAGAATTATGTTCACTTAAAACGTTGCTAGTAAAGTATTCTGTCTGAGCCACATGCTGGCTGTTTTGATACTGTTCTCTGGGCCCAAGAGCTAAGATCAGCTTCTGGCTTGTCCCATGTGGCACATCAGGACGTAAGTACTAATAATTGGGCAACAAAATTCAATTACTCAGAGTATAGCATAAATCACAGACCACTTCTTTTATTTGAAATAATCTTTTTTAGTAACAAAATTTAAGTTTTTCTTACAGTCAGAGAACTGAATATTGATATGTCCCTGTTTTAAATCTAAACCTTTGACTCAAGCCGTGGAAGAGTGAACAGATCCACCAAGTTAGGTGTGACTGTTTGCTGAACACTGCTTCTAGGGTACCAGCCATCAGGTAGCTCTCTTCTGGGATTAGATACTCGATAACACGCCTCTGTAGAATTACCTCATCATAAATCACTGTATCCCATATAGTTTTACAAGTGGGGGGGCACCCCATACAGTTCTGATGTGTGAAAATTTCATTATAATAAAATCCTGCCTTCACCCAAGCACAAGCTTATTAAAAATTCTTTTGCTCTTAAGTTCAAATACAAGCACCCTTTTAAAGAAAACAATGTTTGAAAAAGTCTACTCATTTGTTTAAAGTGTTAAATGAATATTTATATGTATTTTATACCAGGGATAAATGTATGTATACTTACAGGAATATATACACACACACATATTTACAAGAATATGTAAAAAAGAAGGGAAAAGAGCCTTTTCTCAATTATTCGATTAAATTTTCATACTACTCAAAGTTGCTAAAATTAAAACTTTGTTAAGAGATGTAATGCTATTGTAACTGAAAAATGTCCATCCATCTGATCAGCATAGCATTTCTCATCTTTGTGTTTGTTCCATCAGTCCTGTTTCTAAACAGACAAGTTCAAGGAAACGTCTCTCAGTCTGCAACTAACTTAAAACTGCAAACAATGGGAGCACAGTTCTTTTTATTTATTTATTTATTTTTATTTTGGTATAATTAATATACACTTACATGAGCAACATTGTGGTTACTAGACTCCCCCATTATCAAGTCCCCCCACATACCCCATTACAGTCACTGTCCATCAGCGTAGTAAGATGCTATAGAATCACTACTTGTCTTCTCTGTGTTGCATAGCCCTTCCCGTGCCCCCACCTTACACTCTGTGTGCTAATCGTGATGCCTGTTTTTCCCCCTTATCCCTCCCTTCCCATCCATCCTCCCCAGTCCCTTTCCCTTTGGTAACTGTTAGTCCATTCTTGGGTTCTGGCAGTCTGCTGCTGTTTTGTTCCTTCAGTTTTCCTTTGTTCTTATACTCCACAGATGAGTGAAGTCATTTGATACTTGTCTTTTTCTGCCTGGCTTATTTCACTGAGCATAATACCCTCTAGCTCCATCCATGTTGTTGCAAATGGTAGGATTTGTTTTCTTCTTACGGCTGAATAATATTCCATTGTGTATATGTACCACATCTTCCTTATCCATTCATCTACTGATGGACACTTAGGTTGCTTCCATTTCTTGGCTATTATAAATAGTGCTGTGAGAAACATAGGGGTGTATATGTCTTTTTGAAACTGGCCTCCTGCATTCTTGGGGTAAATTCCTAGGAGTGAAATTCCTGGGTCAAATGGTATATCTATTTTTAGTTTTTTGAGGAACCTGGGAGTACAATTCTGAGTCCAGGTTTATTCACTCATTCAACACTCAGCATTTACTGAACACCTACTATGTGTCAGGCACTATTCTGGGCACTGGACTTTCAAAAGTCAATAAGAAAACTACCATGACTGGACCAGATAAACTTAAAATTATCTGCAATCAGTCTACAGTCTTTGCTAAATCAAAACAGCACGCCTTTGTCTTTTCCTCTCAAGAGAATTTTTATGTTGAACTCTGATATTTTTAAGAACACCTTTGAAAGAATAAAGGTCCTAAAAAGAACTTAATAAAAATAAGGAAGTTTCACTAATATGTCTTGTTCATATAATCATAAAGGTCAAGGGATTTCAAGAGAACATCAAAGTAGGCTCACCTATCTCCAGCCAGGATGATGCCAAAACTGTCCTAAATACATAAACTCTACCAACAACAACAAAAAAGCAAAGTAAATATTATAGCAAAGGAGCATTTACTTAAAATAAAGTCATAACTGACTTTTCCTAATATAATCAGGATTGTGAGTGGAGGAGCAAATCTGCCATGTCTGCCCAGTTAGGCACTGTTTTTTATCAGGGGGAAAGAAAAATTATAAACAGAACCTACATATATTTCAAAGAAGATATTTAGTGCATGTCTTCTATTTGCTAAACAGAGCCATCAATCACACATCCATATTCTAGGGTACCTCTCATTGCTTCATTCATCTGTGTGCTCTTCACCCAAGAAAGAGCTGAGTCCATGAGCATTCTGGGAAACTCCTGAGCATCTTCCCTTGCACTTTCCAATCCAGCCCACCCCCTGTAGCTCCAAGGGGTTTTTAATTGGATTGGTCAATTTGGGAGGGGCTTCATCTCGAGGGGAGGGTCCATTATTTATCTTTTTGAAGAAACAGTTATATAAATTTTAGTAATGATTTATAGTATCATATTATTTTATTTTCCTTCTATTATATTCCAATAAAGTTAAGTTTATGGGAAGATGGAAAATGGTTACCCCAAGGTGAGTGTATCTAAGTTATATTTATTTTCTTTTTGATACTATTCTCTATTTCACCCTTTTGTGGAGCTGCCTAGAAGGTTCAAGATCTAGAACTTCACTGTGGTACTGACAGAGGTAAAAGGGCAGAGGCCTCCACTTATTTTGGCTCAAGTTCTGACCAGCTTTGGGGAGAAACACTGCCTTGCAGGCCAGCTCAGTACTGTCTTCCTCTCCCTACTGAAATCTGGAGGCCACAGGGAATGAGGACGGGATCTTCTGCCTCCCTTTGCCTTTGCCTCTTGTATACACATTTCTCAGGGACTTGAAGAGGTGGGCTGGGTGTGGCCCAAAGCTTTCTTAGCCTCAAAGTGTCTTCTGTAAATAAGAAAAGGGAGTCCCCTCGGGGCCAGGTCCTACTGGCCCCTTGGCTGCATGCCCTGGCATGGTCCGGGGCACTCCCAGATCCCTTCGTAAAATAACAGCAAATAACAGCACCAATCCTAAGATGGCCTCTATTCTAATGGGGACTTGCACACTGCTCTGAGGTGACTTTGGGGCTCCAAGGAAGTATAGGAAGGGTCACTGCAAGGGGAAATCAGGAGGGACAAGGGCTGGTCTCCCTTTCCCTCCTTCCTGACAACTCTATTTCCATCTGCTTTTAAATGTTGAGGGTGTTCATTTAAGATTTCTTGGGGAGAAAGGATTCTGCTGCTTTTGAAAAGACTGAAAACCACTATTTCTAGTTTACCTTATACATGCACAAATTATTTACTTTTGGTAACAACCAGCTTGACCACTCGATGCCAGAGGCCAGCAGGGAGACGTTTCGATGTGGGAGGAGGAAGAGAAGCAGCTACTGCAATTGGCATTTTGGCTTCACTTCGCCCGACAATATTGTTCTAATACCAGGTAACCAAAATTTCTATTTTACATTTCCTACCCTGCTCACATATGTTGCCAAAACCAACATTTCAGGAACATGCTCTCTTCTGAATAAGGTCAACATTTCTCCTTACGATCTTACCTATTTTTATCAGCAGCCTGGCACCAATTTTAAGACATTTACCTGATAGGAAGTCATGGGAACAGTTGAGAACAGTAGTTCCTGGTTGTATCCAAGAAAGGGGAATCTCTTCTGGCTTGGGCGAGCCTATGACCACAATATCCGCCTCTTGAAGCTAGAAAGAAAAACATCACACGTTTTAACTTGTAGCATGAAGACACAACTAATGATCAATGTCAAATGATTTCAGTGGACTAGATAAATTCCAGTTTCAGAGTTTGGTTCCAAACTGATGACATGGACAAAATCACTACTAATTTACTCCTGTAGCACCTATTAGTACAAACAGAATGTGATTATCACAGCCTAGAAAGAGAAGGAGACCTTAGAAATTTCTTCAGGATAGCCACTTGAGCACACACACTATGTGAAATATTATCATTTACATGTTTTCACCTCTGACTGCAACAGCAAGAAAATGGCTGGGGCTGAGAACACTGTCCTGATGGAAGGGGGAGACACAGGTGACCTGGGGAGGGAGGCATCTTGGTGCATCACCCAGCGGCCTGGGAGAAAGCAGGGCTCATTGTAGTGAACCCACTTGGAAGATCTGAGGGCCCAGGGGCCAGCTGCCCTGCACAACGGTACAATCAAAATCAGACCCATATGGAACTCTTGCTATATCTATGGAAGGATTTTTAAGAGCTTGAGAAAGAATCTCATTATCCTTGAGGCCCTGGTTAGTCTCTTGTCAAACATTTTTTTCTTTTTGAGTAAAAGGAAAGAACGCAACCATTGCTTTAAAACATATTCATCATGCCTGCCTGTCCATATTTGGATAACACAGTGCTAGAGGAACGTGTCTGGTGGGAATATCTAGAAAAAGGGTCAGAGATTGGTTCTGAGTTCAACCAAAGAATGACCACCTGTCCTGGTATCAACTAAGCAGCAGATGATTTCAAACTGGGTCCATATGTGGAGGGACAGAGGCAAAGAAAGAATCTCAGACTCTGTGGGAGAAAATAGCTACAATTCCATGTGTCGGCTTGGTGCTGTCACTATTATCTCATTGATTATCCCAAATATTATGAGGTCGGTGTTACTAAACCCACTTACTAGACATGGAAACGGAGGCTCTGAGTGTGTAAGTACCTCTATGGTACGTCCTGTTTCCCCTGGCAAACCCAGTCCTGGATACTCTGTCAGACAGAAAGAGAGGGAAGCTGCCCCTGCTGCACTCTCCAACACTGATGGGCCTTCCTCCGTTATTTTTTCCAAAGACTTCAATGCCCTGAAAGGGACTGCATGGAACAGACAGGGGAGCAGAAGACAAAACAGAACACGCCCACTGCCACTACCACTCAGGGAACAAGCATGCTCCCCACCCACTCTCAGCTTGAATGGGCAGCCTGCTGGTGATCTCCAGGAAGGACCAGGCTGGCCTCAGTCTCAGGGCCTGTAACACTGAGCAAGCGGCTGCATCGACTGAGTCTGGAGTCTTGGAACAAGAGAAGGAGTGAAGGGAGGCAAATCAATGACAGTCCTACCAGGTTTATGAACAAAACAACCACCGTGGGGAGCTCTTCCATGTTCCCCTGATAGAGGAGGAGCATGGCAACAATTTAAATGCATGGCTTTTCAAAGAGCTGATAAAACCAACTTAAAAGTTAACATCTGAGAAAAAGCTAATCAATTTGATCCTGCCAGTAGGGAAAAGTGAGCTAACATTCATTGAGTACCACTAATCGATCAAACATTACTCACTGCTTTTCGGTAGTGTACGTTATCAAGACACAGGGAGAATACAGTGAAAAGGTATTGCAGCGAATTAACTGTTGAAAAGAGGAGTTAAAAAAGAAGCCCCAAACGACCATTCTTTTTTATGCTACAGGACCATAGCACCGTGGAACTGAATTAAGGAGTTTACAGCCAATTTATCAGGATCTGGTGTGTTCATGTCACACACATTCTCTACAGACGGATCTGAAAAGCAACCATACTGTGGGCGATGTTAGATTTAAGAGGAAAAAGTGTTATCAAAAGAGAATGGGAAATATCTGAATTAGAAAATGCATTTCTTCATTTACCTATATATACTGCTGCAGATATTCCACCACAATAAGCTTCAAGAGAATCAGAAATGTTTAACACTCTTTACCTATGACTGGCAGATAAAAACACCATTGGCTACATTTTCACACACAAAAGGAACAAAAAGAGAACATGTTAAAACATCTATGAAAAGGAAGTTAATATGTACAAGAGTGAAATGTTCATTTTGGAAAGAGCCAAGGATCACAGGTTCACACAAGCCCCCTAGGAACACTTAGTTTCCCACACATGGTATCTTTGATACGACCTGTTCTTTACATTACCTATAAATCTTGGAAATCTCGTTCTGACCCCTCAACTCTGTACCTAAACACAACTCTAAGGTGCACTGTGCTAATAAGCACCTGGGGGACAGCTGATCCCACAGAGAAAAGACAAAAATCTCCTCTGTTAGCGATGATCACATCAGAGATGCTAATTCTTTTTGGAAAGGAAAACTGCTGGATACTGAAGTCAATAAATAACCCACTGAGGACCAGGGAAGGTTTTAATGAGCTAAAATTCAAGGAGAATTATCATCTCACTTGCTGTTTCTACTTCCCAAATGGGAAAGACCCTGGCCAAAGCCTGGCTTGAAACTTTAGCTCATAACAAAATATTGCTTTCTCCACTGAGAAGTGAGTAGAATCAGCTTAAAAAGAACCACCCACAGAGAAAAGACAAAAATCTCCTCTGTTAGCGATGATCACATCAGAGATGCTAATTCTTTTTGGAAAGGAAAACTGCTGGATACTGAAGTCAATAAATAACCCACTGAGGACCAGGGAAGGTTTTAATGAGCTAAAATTCAAGGAGAATTATCATCTCACTTGCTGTTTCTACTTCCCAAATGGGAAAGACCCTGGCCAAAGCCTGGCTTGAAACTTTAGCTCATAACAAAATATTGCTTTCTCCACTGAGAAGTGAGTAGAATCAGCTTAAAAAGAACCACCCACTCCCCAGGCGGGAGACTAAATGTTAAAACGATAGTAAGACACAGATATGTACACATTTAATGTGCAGCATATGGGCATACCATATAGTTTAGACATCATGAAAACCATTTTTCTCTAAGTCACTGAGAGGGAAGGCAAGAGTTGGGATATGAAGAGGGAGAGATAGAAGACATGTGATTTGCAAAGTTATAAGGTACATCATAATTTTGTATTTAGCAAAAAAAATGCATTTTAAAATTTAAACTACAGTAAGTACAGCCCCATCCTCTTGGCTAAAAGACAAAACTTATCTTCTGCTATCAATGAGTTTTGAAAAGAAGCATATGAGAATCCCAGATATGATTTGTAAATATATATCAAAAGCTGGCTTGGGTAAAAAAAAAGGTTGAGGTATGTTTTCAAGAACTGTGGTTCTAGTACTTGAGACAATTAACACCTGTTTCCATACCCTTCAAAAGTTATGAACACAGTTCAGAAAACAAAGTAAAAAATGAAGCACATTACTTGAAAATAAATCCATGGTGGGTGCTTTCTCCAGCAAAGACATGCTTCTAAAATTATAAATGAAGGAATAAGAGATCCAGGATTTCTTAGGGAATATACTCACTCCCCTGCCATCTATCTCTCAGGTGCCCCTGGGGCAAACAGTGAGGTTGCTGAGGATCTGTAAATAAAAATCCATGCCTACAAGACTAAATATCTGGCATCTTCAAGGTGGAGGGGCACAAGGCAAACCATTGGGATAGGAAAAGAAATGATTAAACATTCAATTTCTATTTATTTTGCCCACGCAGTTCAGAAAGTGAGCTTTACTAGTATATATCTGGATGGACACTGGCATTCTCAACCAGTCCCTGTGTATCAGCTGGGCAGCTGTCAAACAGTAAACACAGGCAGGGGAGGGGACCTGCGGGAGGGAGGTAGCCCCAAACCTGTTCTGCCTCTTCCAGTGAGCAGGGACACTACGGTTTCTGTGAGCCTGCTTACAGATGCCATTCTGTTCCACAGCACACTTCTCACAGCTTTGTTATAGCAGGGAGTCAGGGAGACCTCATGCGGCATGGAGGCTCCTTGATGATCGAATGGCAAAGCTCTAAAAAGTCAGGTGTTTCTTTTTTATGAAATGTCACTTTTCTTTCAATAAACACCAAATTTCCCAATTTCTGACCTTTTCTTGATAACACACAAGTAGCTGTCAGACTAAGACCCTTTGGCTTCTCTCACGCCATCAGCTGTTTTAGGAAGATTCCGCTGGAGGCTGGATTAAGAATGGGTCAGAGGGAAGGAGGGGGAAACACATAGGAAGAGACGCGGGTGGGAAGTTGGAGGCTGTGGGTTTGGAACTGAGGACACTCAGGCTGGGGTTCGTCAGCATACAGATGGAGTTACACCCAGCAGCTTACAGAGTATCTCTGAGGTAAACGGGGTGGCGGTGGGGAGGCTGCTGGTGGTAAAATACATCCCAAGGGGGCATCCCTCTTGACTGGCTAAGAGAAGAGAAACCAATGACACGACCCTGGTGTGGCCCAGGGGGCAGGAAAGGAGGAACAGTGTCTTCGCGTAAGCTAAGGAGAAAGGGAGTGGTCAGCAGGTTTCAGTGGTGCCCAGTGGCCAAGCAAACTAAAAGCAAAAAAAATCCATTTTTGGCAATTTAGAATTCATCAGTGACTCTACTATAGAAATGGGCATTAGCAATCATGTCTGGTAAATCCTTGCCATTTGAGTACAGTGTGTTCCCTATATACCACAATTTCAGGCAGGCTGAGTTTTTCATAAGCAAAAAACTGAGTTTTTCTCTGTTTATTCCTAAATTACTCTAACTCAGCATGTTTAACTTTTTATTTGAATGAGTATCTACCATAGAATTACTACTTTGTACTTATGGATCAATATCCATGTTTTCCTGAAATATTAAGCACACATTAAATATAAATGTTAAAATAACTGCATAAATTCTCTAAACTTTAAGAACGTCAAACCATTTTCATCCAGATGTTGTGATACTTTGTCAAGAGAAGAGAACGACAATTCCAGCGACAGGTACTTCTGCCTCAGGCACTCCAAGCAATCTCATCCTGGGAGAATTTTTCCTTTCAGGAACTGAGTGTGTTTTTTTCCAGTACAACAC